GCTACATAGTGGACTGAGTCCTTTGCGTTATCCCAGTCGGGATCGAACCCACATTGCTTGCATGGTACTCTACTCAAAGCGTCTGCGTTCTGGTGCTTAGCGCCTGGCCTGTGCTCAATATCCATATCATATGTTCCGAGGATCTCCAACCATCTGGCTAACTGGCCTTCTGGGTTTTTGAAATTGAGAAGCCAGCGCAGTGATCCGTGGTCAGTTCTTACCCGAAACTTTCTTCCGTAAAGGTAATGCCGGAAGAGTTTCACAAACGCCACGATCGCCAGCAGTTCCTTCCTGGTCACACAATACTGGCGTTCTGCCTTGGTCAAGGTGCGACTTGCATATGCTATCACTCTCACTTGACCATCAAACTTCTGAGAAAGCACTGCGCCTATATCTCCATTGCTGGCGTCGGTGTCCAGAATAAATGGTTTTGTGAAGTAGGGATGAGCAAGAACAGGAGCACTGACAAGCCTCTGCTTTAATTCGTGAATTTAATTCATTGCATTCTCTTGTCCAAATAAAGGCTCGTCCCTTCTCTGTCAAGCTGTGTAAGCATTTGGCAATAGCAGAAAAATGATGAATGTACCTCCTGTAGTAGCTACAGAGTCCAAGAAAGGATCTCAGTTTCCGTAACATTTGCTGGTATGGGCCATTCACTTACAGCTTTCACCTTGTCTGGATCAGTGGCAATTCCTTCTTCAGACACTACATGACCCAAAAAACTAACACGTTTGGCGAACAGGCGACATTTCTTTGGTTTGAGTTTAAGTCCAGCTTCCTTGAGCCTATTGAAAACAGTTCTAAGGTTAATCAACATGTCCTCAAACGTCCGCCCGACTACAATAACGTCATCGAGGTACACAAGGCAAATCTGCCATTGCACTCCCGCCAAGACCGTTTCCATAAGTCGCTGGAACGTTGCTGGTGCGCAACACAATCCAAACGGCATCAAGCGAAACTGAACCAACCCTTTCCTCGTTGCAAATGCGGTTTTGGGTCTGTCACTTGGCTCTACTTCCATCTGCCAATATCCAGAGCATAAGTCCATGGTAGAGAACCAGGAATTACCAGACAGTTGATCAAGCGAATCATCGATTCGCGGCAGGGGGTAAGCATCCTTTATCGTCACACTGTTTAATCGTCGGTAGTCGACACAGAAACGGATTGTCCCGTCTTTTTTCTTCACCAGTACGATTCCTGACGACCAAGGGCTACATGAAGGTTCTATGCCCTTTCTGTCTAGCATGTCCTTCACCAGCGTGTCTACTTCCTCGCGCATGTGCACTGGAACGCGCCTAGCAGGTTGCTTAATCGGCCGTGCATCACAAGTATCTATGGTATGTTGTACGTCCTCGCGCATGTCAAGATCGTTATTGGAGACTGCAAACAGATCGGTATACTCCTCTAGCAAATGATCGACATCACTGGTCTGTTCCTTGGATAGGTTCCGAATAGACTCATCTCGTAAGCGCTGCAATTCAGCATTCACCTTCAGTTTTCCTCCGTTACAATCGGGAGGTTTCAATCGGGAGGTTTCCCATCCAGAACCCTATTTACTTGTGCCAGCTCACCAATCATGGTTCCGCCATACACAACCTGTGCCTCGTCAGAGAGATTTATCATTCTCACTGGTACTATGCATTTGGACTGCACAAGGGTTCTTTGCCACCAATTCCCTATCAGATCTGAGGAATCGCTCGGTCGGTTCTACGACACAAAGTCCCTTAGGCAACAAACCCTCTGCTTCCAATACCTTACCAGGACAGATGAACTCTGATCTGGGAGGAATGCTGACGGTCTCCAATGCAGTAACCTTGAAACACGCGAATGGTCCTTGAAACACAAAAGGAGTTTCTTTTGCGCGGATGCTCAGTATTTCCTTGTTGATATCTACCACATCATCGTGAGCCTTCAGGAAATCCAAACCAAGTATACCGTCTATGCTTAGCTCTGCCACTATCATATCCATGCTAAACATCTGACCATCCAAAGCAAACTCGAACTTCCCTTTTCCTGACAGCACAAGGTCGTTGCCCCCTGCCGCCGCCACTTTATGCTTTATGTCTGCCAACTGTGGTCTGCTGTCACCAGCCAACCGGTTGTAAAGCTTCGCTGACAAGAGGGAGAGGGAAGCTCCAGTATCCACAAGTTTTGCTTCCGTCCCTAGTATTGATGATTTAACATACATGCCTGCTTCATTGGCAACCGAACTTACTCCTATAGAAGGTTTGGAGCTATTTCGTAGCATCTGTCGGCGTTCCCTACGTGTCATTAATCGATTGGCCGCTGGTCCATTCCCAGGCGTTTGTCCCTTAGCATCGGCACTTTTCAGTGCGGGATAGTTTCTTTTCATATGCCCTTTTTCCTTGCAATGGTAGCAGGTGATGTCATTTAGATCTGCCGTTTGCTCCCTGTTGGCGCCTCTGCCCTCTGCTTTCCTTCAGGTGATCCATATCTGTTCGTAAGGCATCTAGCTTATCTTGCATTGTCTTCATGGCCTTTACCATTTCACCAAAGGCATGTTCTTGTGTTTCCTGATAGTTGTCTGTCGCACTTGCCACCCTCAAATGTCCATGCCCTTCCTTACGCCGCTGCTCAGCTTTATTGAAAGCCTCCAGCTCTACAGCGAGGCGTATTGCATCATTCAAAGAGGCTGGTCGCGACTGTTTTATCCTAATTCGCACCTCAGAGTCCAACAGCGCATCGATAAATTGTTCCATGGCCAATGTGTCTTGTAATTGACGCGGAGCCGTTGGGTAAGCCAAACTCGCTAGTCTTCTTATTGCCTGACCCAATCCCGGGAGGGATTCTGTCGCTTTTTGGCGTTTGTCTCTGAGCTGGACCCTATACAGATCTGTTTAACTTGGCGGGGAAAATCTCTCTTCTAAAGAGGCAACCAGCATCGTGTAGTGTTGCATAGCGTCATTTGGTAAATCTCCTAGGACCCCCTGTGCTTGGCCGCGCAGACAAACAGCAAGGTGCATGCCCTTTTCTTCAATACATTTATTTATCCGCGCACAGGTATCAACATGTGACTTGAAATCTTTCCATGAGCCAGAACCGTCATACGTTGCTGGTTTAACACGAACCCCGTATCTATCTGTAGAGTTTGCTCCACCAGTCTTGACAACATCTCTGGGTTCTTGGCCTGGTGTTGGTGATGGAAGATACCTCCTTCTGGACCTCTTCTGCGTTATATGCGCCATACCAGTCCCCCCTGCAGGCGGATATTCAGATTCGTTCATACCCAAGATCCTCTGCTCAGTATCCACAAATTTCACCGTGGGCCGCGCCCCTACGTCGGGCGGTGCATAACCCGTAGCCCCTGGCAGGTATATGTGATCTTCCTTCATCGCACGGCGGTCCAACGGCGAGGTATCAGGAGGTTTTGTATCCCCTTGTTGTAGTTGTCTAGATTGCGGTGCACTGGCAACACCAGAATCACAACCTACACTTTGACTCTTTGATGACTTGGGCGTTGAGTGCTGGAAACTGTCCACTATCTTGTCTCTTTCTTGTTTCAGAATTGACAACTGCGTCTCAATTGGACTTATTTCCTGGTTAAAATTCTCCATTTTGCTTAAATGGGCCAATGGTAATAAACGAATCACATGCACAGCAGTATCCCACCGCTGCCACCAAAATATGTAACGTGCACCGTGGTCGGTACCTATTTGGTCCGTCCCAAGTGTTTCTTGGGATATGCTGTGCAGTTCCGGTAGCTTCGCCTTACCGCACTTGCTTAGTAGCGCAGAGACTTCCTATATGAATTGGACCCAAGCCAACTTAATCAGACTATAATTAGTTATTATTTACGAAGGATTTTAATACGACAAACCTATGATACAGTTGCATACAATAAACAGGGTCGTGCTACTTGTCACGGGACTCACAATTACAATACACATTTAACGTTAACAGGGGGCTAGACAAGACCTACAGCGCACCGGCTTATGCAGCACGGCGCACGGCACTAACAACTAGCACACGACTATTACAAGTGCTCCCGGCACTAGTACAGCGCAGTGACAACCTTGCGCACCGGCTTATCCAGCGCAGCGCACCGGCTCACACAGCGTAATAGCTACACCGTGCACAGGCCTTACAACCGCTAATCACCCTAACCTACAGCCTCACGATCACTGGTCACTTATTCAGCGACCAACAACTACCACGCTATGAAAGACTTATCCAGCCTTTGTATATACCTTATCGTTGTTGTATCTCGCCGTGTTCTTCTGTCAGCATCTTGATTGATTGATTGATGGGGCTTTACGTCCTTGTTCCGGTTATAACCGAGCCTAGGACAAAAAAAAAAGAAAAAAAAAGGGGGGGTTGGGTTATGGTTGCAATTCCGCCTTTTGAGTGTTGCCAAAAAGTTCTAAAATGGAGGATATGGGAACCTAACGTTCTAGTTTCTATAATTTAGGGATTGCAATTTGTACTGTCACTTAAAGCTCTACACTAGTCTAAATTTCTATCCTATTAAGCCTCGCTTATATACTGCTAGCTCAAACCATTCTGGGGCAAATCAGGTTATCCCATTTTTCATGACGTCACTAACTTTCTGGTCTTACGAGCGCCTACAGCCTATGTCAAAAGCTATGTAAAAAACACAAACGCAACCTAACACTGATAACACTAGCTGTGATGAAATCGCTATTGTCAACCAGTATCCTAACCCGGGCGGTGTAGATAACCTACTGTATCTACCCGGCTAAACCAAGAATATATATATAGGACAAATGGAGATACTTGGCTTTAATGTCCCACTATGGCTGGTGCTGATCTTAGCCGTGCTGGCTCTGTATACATAGTAAGTACGAAAGGGCTGTAGCGATTAATTATAATTTTAAATATTGCAATAAACGGCACAGAAACAAGGTTTCTATGTCACATTGTTAAAACCCGAATGTCCTGAGAACTAAACAGACGATTACATAGAGAAAACTCGTTAAAATCCCGGAGGGTTTTGTTTCGGCCGAAGGTGTACATGCACCTTATAGACATGTATAGTGCGTTTCTGTACCACATTATAATTTTGTGTAATATGTATATACAGAAGCAATTNCATGATGTTGTATGAATTGGATTGAACAACAGGCTATGCCTATATCCCATTTATATAAACCAGCATATACATATATTATAATTTATAGTGAAATGAAAAATTGAAAAAAAGACACAAAGTGCAAGCCATATGGTAAAGGGGAGATAACTCTAACTGCTTATGAATCTTTACCTCCCCAGAAATGAGTGAGTTTTAGACATATTCCTTTACTACATTCTCCCTGGGAGTTCAAAATCCACACAGAGTGACTCGTAAATAGTTCAATATTAGGCTTATATACATTAAATATTATGAATAAGCAATGTCAATATTGTACGGTATATTAATATTAACATTATAATACGTTAAGAATATACTTATTATTAATTACAAAATACAAGTCCATGTTGATTTAAGGGTTAGTATATCATATTCACACTGTGTTTATAGTAAGTGCTTAATGCTATTTATAACCAAAAGCATGTTTGCTGTTCATGTTTACAATATTAGGTTAACTATATAGTCTAAGCTCATACCTCACATTTGTTAAGTCATTTAAAAAAGTGATCAACTATATCATTAAGGTACTTTGGTGATATATTACGCAATATTTTATACATTAAAATTAATTTATTTTCCCCCTCCTATCAGCTAAGGTTTCCCATCCCAATTCTTTGTACATTTATGGTGCGATGTACCTCTACGAAGCACCGTCACTACTCTAGCAGCATCTAGTTGAACTGATTCTAATAATAATTTTGATTGTTCAGTGCAATTATCCCAAACTACATTCGCATATTCTAAAATTGGTCAAATATAGGATATATACATAGTGTTAAGTGAACTTCTATCAAGAGAAGTTTTAAGACTTTTTAATATATTAATTCTTTTATATGCTGTATCATAAATCTTATGGATATGTTGACCTCATTTACCATCTTCATTAAAAGTAAGACCTAAATGTTTATGGTTAGTACCGTCGATTAGTGGTTGATTAGAGAAGAAGATTGGAGGGTGATTAGTTTCTTTTTTCCGTGTGAAGATTATAGTTTTAGTTTTGGATGCATTACATTTGTTATCCCAAGATTTAGCCCAAGAACATATATTCTGCAAGTCATTAGTGAGATTTTGTGCTGCTTGAATGGGATTATCATCAACAATAATATAGAGGGAGGTATCATCTGCAAAAAGTTTAATGTTACTAGTAACTATATTAGTGATGTCATTTATATAGAGAAGGACAATGGACCAAGGACAGATCCCTGAGGCACTGCTGCACTGATACATTTAAAAGTTGACTGATGTCCTTCTGTAATAACCCTTTGTTTTCTCTCGGACAAGTAGTTCTTAAACCATGCCAATAAGTTTCTAATTTATATATTAAACCGTCATGCCAAACCCTATCAAAAGCTTTACTTACATCACAGAAGACAAATCTAACTTCTTAACCTTTATCTAAATTATCTATAATAGTGTGATATATAGATCATAATTGATTCACAGTTGAGTCACCAGGCAGTAAGCCTGACTGGTGCTCAGAAAGTTTCAGCTGCTACAAGGTAGTTATACAGGTACTTAAAGATGATTTTTGCAATAATTTTACTGAAACAAGATGTAATTGAGATTGGCCTATAACTACTGACATCATTTTGGGACCCCTTACCCTTATATATAGCATTAGCATTAGCAAGTTTCCATGATGCAAGGATATGTCCAAGTTCCATCGTTTTGTTAAGAAGTAATGTTAGTGGATATGATATTGAGGGTGTTAGTTTTTTTTAATTACTTTGGGTATAATTCCATCAGGCCCTGCAGGTTTATTATCATTTAGTAGTTAAAGTTGGTAGATTACAACTTGTTCAGGTATGTCAATACTTTCTAATTGAAAGGGATAGTTATTTACAATAGGTGGCAGTGGGTCAAGATTAGGAGAGGATGTTGCTATTGAGGTAAAGTAATCGTTTAGTGTATTAGCTTTATCTATAGGATGTTGAAGAGATATACCGTTATGATCAAGAGGAGGAATGCTAGTTGATTTATTATTAAAATGAGATACAGACTTAGCTATTTTCCACTATTTAGATGGGGGTAAGGATTTATCACTCACAGAACTCTCTAGTTTTTCAAGATAATCTTTTTTTCATTTTCCTTATGATTTCAATAGTTTCATTTCTAATATTTCTATATTTATTCCAGTGATAATGACTATTACTTAATTTTGCTTTTCTATAGATCCTATTTTTTTGCCTTAGTTTTGATCTGATTTCATTATTTATCCATGGTTTATCATCTGGACGTATAGTAATTATTTTTCAGGGAATATGGTTATTTCTTTGTTGATTAATATTGTTGGTAAGTATTTGGTTAAATTCTCCTGAGGTACTATTTTGCGCATGTGTCATCCAGTTAATATCTCTCAGTGATCTGTTCATTTGGTCAAAATCAGCATTATCATACATTAATATAGTCTTTTTATAACACTTTATGTTGATAGACAGAGTAGGAAACTGCAATATGTATAGGAGAGTGATCACTACAGAACTGGGGGCTTGTACATGTATTTTGGATGATTCTAGTATTATTAGTAAAGACAATATCTATAGAGGTTGAACTATTAGGAGTGATTCTTGTCGGTTCATTTATTAGAATATTCAGATTATATTTAGTAAGAATTCTGCTGAGATGTGAGTTAGGATTTAGATTTAACATGTCAATATTTATGTCACCTGTTAAAATTATGTCTAGTGAGGTATCAGCAGCTTTATCCAATAAAATATCAAGTTGTGTCCAGTATTCTACATTAGATTCCGGTCTATATATACACCCTAATTGAAATCTGCGATTACCAGTATGCACTTCTATCCAAAAATCATCATGCTCCCGGTCTAATCTTCTTTTAGTCTGAATAGTAATTCTATAATAAGTCAACCCTCCATCCTATTTTGTCTATCTTTTCTGTATGGTTCATTTGGAAATGAGTCTAGCATAATATCATTACTGAGAATATCTGGTGTTAGATGAGTTTCTGTTAATGTCAGTAAGGTGCAGCTAAGAATCAACTATATCAAGTTTGTTCCTGACAGACCTAACATTGAGATGAGTGATTTCTATATTTTGCATGGGACCAGGATTAAGCTCAATGTCATTAGCAAGAAGAAGTATTTTTTGACTTACATAACGGATATAGCTATTATTATTAGTTACATTTATGAGTATAATGTGACAATGTAGTAAGGGACACAGGTACTCTGGTTGTGTATATATAACGCAATCATATTGGAATCTGATTATTATATATATGTATACTCCCCCATACTTCCCAGGAACCTCTGCTAGGTACAATATATTAAGAGTGTGTTTATCATTCCAAAATAGTGAGGGTTCATTCTGACCACTGGGGCCCACCACAGATGCCCACACATACACCAACATGTACATGTGTCATAACACATGAATTATCAGTATGGGAGTATGCACACGAGCATCCGTAATAAGCCCCCGCGGCCAGGCACACGGGCAGGTTCAACATGGACAAGTGCTTAAAAAACTCGGTAAGAATCAAGATGGCCTGGATGCATAGGCATACACGTCCTGCCCACATACATGACACGAACATGTAAATATACCTGTCGTAGATAAAGTTTTCTAAGCATTTTATTATGTAGTTGGAATAAAATATCAATGTGATTTTAGATGAATCTTATATAATTACTTGATGTAATTTCTGACTAACATTCGGTTATATTATATATATACTAAATAGACTTGTATATAAAATATTAGATATGTACAAGTATAAATATAGCTACAAATGCTAGACACATGATGTTATAGTATTGCAATGCACATATATATATGTTTACATGTACTTAAATTACAGCTAGTATCTAGTTAAATATATTACAATTGGTCACTGAAGACAGTAATCCACATATACACAATATAATTTATACATATTTACATATAGATATATCAGATTGTACGAAGGGTAATCAGCATTGTTTTTGAACGAAGCAACCATTTCATTGCGATAAAAGTGTATTTTACGACGGTTCTCAAATGTTTCCCTAGTTCTTTGCATACGCTGACGTGAACTGTACCCTTTTACGTCCAGTTATAATTCGCGAATCCTCTAATATGTTTTAATAAAGTAGTTGTTTTGAAGTATTAGTGCCATCATATCCAACTGCATCTGTTTATTCAAGTATTGGTATTTTAGTTTTTGTTGTTGTAATTTTCATTTTTCAGTATGATGAGTCGTCACCATGGTACCTTTAAGAAACTCAACATCCCAGGACCCGCACCATGGCCGATCATTGGCAGTCTCGTGGAACTCAATAAAAAGGTACATACATGTAGTATAACTATCTGTATCTATCACAGGACCGGCACCATGGCCGATCATTGGTAGTCTCGTGGAACTCAATAAAAAGGTATATACATGTAGTATAACTATCTGTATCTATCACAGGACCGGCACCATGGCCGATCATTGATAGGCTCGTGGAACTCAATAAAAAGGTATATACATGTAGTATAACTATCTGAATCTATCACAGGACCGGCACCATGGCTAATCATTGGTAGTCTCATGGAACTCAATAAAAAGGTACATACATGTAGTATAACTATCTGTCTCTATCACTGGACCGGCACCATGGCCGATCATTGATAGACTCGTGGAACTCAATAAAAAGGTATATACATGTAGTATAACTATCTGAATCTATCACAGGACCGGCACCATGGCCGAACATTGGTAGTCTCGTGGAACTCAATATGAAGGTACATACATGTAGTATAACTATCTGTCTCTATCACTGGACCGGCACCATGGCCGATCATTGATAGTCTCGTGGAACTCAATAAAAAGGTACGTACATGCAATATAACTATCTGTATCTATCACAGGACCGGCACCATGGCCAATCATTGGTAGTCTCATGGAACTCAATAGGAAGGTACGTACATATAGTATAACTATCTGTATCTATCACAGGACCGGCACCATGGCCAATCATTGGTAGTCTCGTGGAACTCGATAGGAAGGTACATACATATAGTATAACTATCTGTATCTATCACAGGACCGGCACCATGGCCGACCATTGGCAGTCTCGTGGAACTCAATAGGAATGTACATACATGTAGTATAACTATCTGTATCTACCACAGGCCCGGCGCCGTGGCCAATCATTGATAGTCTCATGGAACTCACTAGGATGGTACGTACATGTAGTAGAACTATCTGTATCTATCACAGGACCCGCACCATGGCCGATCATTGGTAGTCTCGTGGAACTCGATAGGAAGGTACATACGTGTAGTATAACTATCTGTATCTACCACCGGACCGGCACCATGGCCAATCATTGGGAGTCTCGTGGAACTCGATAGGAAGGTACATACGTGTAGTATAACTATCTGTATCTATAACAGGACCGGCACCATGGCCGATCATTGATAGTCTCATGGAACTGAATAGGATGGTACGTACATGTAGTATAACTATGTGTATCTATCACAGGACCGGCACCATGGCCGATCATTGGTAGTCTCGTGGAACTCGATAGGAAGTTACATATATGTAGTATAACTATCTGTATCTACCACCGGACCGGCACCATGGCCAATCATTGGGAGTCTCGTGGAACTCGATAGGAAGGTACATACACGTAGTATAACTATCTGTATCTATAACAGGACCGGCACCATGGCCGATCATTGATAGTCTCATGGAACTCACTAGGATGGTACGTACATGTAGTATAACTATCTGTATCTATCACAGAAGGAATAATTCAAGATAGACATATTACCTATATGTTACTCTTGTCTATCCCGCTTACCTCCCCTGAGTGTTAATTTAAAACAACAATCAAAATCAAACTTCTTTTATGTGTTAATATCGCATATTTGAATACGTCGATGTATCCGATTTGTTTAAAACATTTACATTGGTAATTCAAAAACCTCATTGAAGCAAAGTCGAGTTTCAATAGTAAGATACGTGATTTGCTTTGGAAATTGATGTTGGAGAGGGCGTTTCTAAGTTGAGATAACTTGTGCCTTATCCTTTTTGTTGAATGACAAATAAAATATGATTAAATCAATTGATGTTAATTAAATAGTTACATCTTCATAGGAAGCTTGACTGTGACTATTACACATATCTGATCCTTGTTCATATGAATACGCTTCGATTACAGGGAATTCACGATTTCGAAAATGACTGCGTGAAGACATATGGAAAAGTTTGCGGGTATCATTTTAAATATAACTGTCATTTCATAAACAATGTTATCTTTCACACCTTTTTCAAAGCACTCAATCACAAGAGAAGTAATTTCACAGGTGTGTTGGATTTAGGATGCATACATATATATTCCATTACTAAAGAAACGTATAGGTCGTGGAGTTTAATGATTTCACTTGCACTTTGATTCAATCCGAAACAAATGAATACATTTGAATTGCATTCCTTAGTGAGTTAGTTTTGCAAATGCGAAGCAGGTATTTTGGTGTTTTTTCCTTCTAATTAACATTGTATTTCCTAAAGTGATATTTCAGTATTCTTGTTCTGTGCTCTGTTGGACCATCAATTGTTAATTCAATTAAATTATTTATCAATGTTTTAACTTTATTTTCTTTCACTGTAGATACTATGGTGGGATGTCACCACAAACACTCATCGTTGGAGACAAGGAGATGCTCAGAAAAATTCTTGTGAAAGAATTTGCAAACTTTCCCGATAAAATAGTAAGATGCAAAAAGTCTTCTGTACTCGATATATCGCATGACAGTTGTAATATAAATAATGTATTGTTTGATGGATACGGGCGATAGGACAAATAGAATACCAGCTGCTGCGTTTGGGGTCAAATATATAACATCCTGTGTTACTTATTTTTTCGAGGCATTACTAATTTAGCCGTCATCTTGTTTACCAGACATTAAAAGGCATTAATGGGGACTTGGAAACATCCGTCATCAACTTAAGAGGCGATCACTGGAGACATGTGCGTAACAAGATAACTCCTGCATTTTCCGTCGGGAAGCTACGAAAGGTAATCAAACGTCTTTTTCCAATTTATAATTTTTTAATAGACACTCGCCGTACTATTCCATCTTAGAATGGACTGATATGAACACAGATGTGTTCAAATATCAGAATGATTTCATTCCTGTTTAATATAGACAAAGAAATTTCACCACTCGAGTTAGGATTTTTGTTAATCTCTGCTTAGGAAATCCATGCTTGCTCTGGCATCGTGGTGACACATTTTAACCCTTTCACCCCTATGTAACTTGAGTAGACTACCATGCATTGATATGTATGTGTCCATTATGGTCTACAGTGGTGAAAGGGTTAAATAACACACATGTTAAAAAAAACCCATATTATTGTTATAAAAAAATCTTTTGAAAGAAATTTGAAGTTTTAACTCCTGTTGACTGTGAAAGGTGTACTTGTATGTGATGAAAACCCATATTTCATAATTATATGATAAATGACAAAGGGAGATAATTAATATCTATTTACCAGATGGTCCCGTTGGTTGACCTGGCCAGTGACACACTTGTGGAATCACTGAGGAGGAAGGTGAAGGACGGAGATGGAGTGACGGACATGTTAGAGTGGGTATCAGCACAACATCACAAACAACTGTTGATACATTGTAGTAACAATGTTGTTTCTTTTTACAATAAGCTCAATGTAATATTACGGTTTTCGTTTATTGTTCTCGATACATAGAGGTCCATGCAGGTAGGGCGTAAGAATTGTACCTGCTGCCCCCATTGCATGATCGTAAGAGGCGACTAAATTTTGGATCTTATCTTTTCTCTTCTTTCTTAAGAACTTTCTAAACAACTTTCTGCTTCCTAATGTCTCCCTTGACAATGCCTCTCTCTTTGGCTTTTAGTTGAGCGTTCACTCTTATGAAGAAGGCTTTTGGTTCTGTCCCCTGGCCGAGACATACCAGAGTCTGTAAAAGTGGTAGGCTTTACTCCTGCTTAACGCTCAGCAATTTAGGAGTGAGACGACTGGTTCGCCCGTTTTCAGTATAATCTGACCGGTAGCGGTGTCCTGCTGGGTGTCTTCGGCAGTATGTTTCAGTGGGGTAGCACTTTAAAGTCGGCATCAGTTCCGCGCTATCACAAGGAGACAAACACGAACCTATCGCAGCCTCCCAAAACACACACGCATAAACTAAACACATGCATCTTGCACACAGGGGAGACCGTCCTTAAATGATCATAGCTGTTGATAGGACGTTAAACAATACTAAACAAAACCAAACCAAATCGATACATGGAACATAGTTACTACTCTAAATGTTATTTTTCTCTTTCTCTACACATGAAAGGAAATATCTATGTTAGCAGTTTTCGTTTGCAATCTCTCATTGATAAATGACATCTGTAGTTATCATATTTGTAAGTTAACGTGATCGATTTAACATTTGCCCCTTGCATTTGAAGTAATAATGCTCAGTATTGTCGTTATCGTGTCTGTCTGTTATATTTTATTATTCTTTTCATTAATATACGCCAATCAAAAGTGGTTTTATGTCAATTCTACTCCCATCTGGTCTTAGGCCACACAACAAAGATTCAAAAGTGGCTCCTTACAGTAGCAGAGTATAAATATATATATAACTGCTAATCGTGGATGAAAAAACGTCATTCGTAAAACAAAAGGATTGATATGGACGGTCTCTCGAGTAGGTTTGACTGTAATTAGCTCGGTATAGTGGGATGTGTGTGGGCGTACCTACAACCTTGGGTGTAGGCTACTTCTTTGATAGCACGCAGTGGTGTTCGTTTATATATCTTACATTCTTATGTAATTTTCTGATCGTAGTTATCATATATTTTTACGCTGTAGTCATATTTGCTTTATTCGTAAAAAAATCTGACCCTAAATGTGCTTTATTCTTGGTCACATAGCTGAAATTATATTCATCTTCATACAATATGCACCGGATGGTGTAGAAAAACAAGTGACGTACGAAGTATAACATTGCAACTATTGAGAACAAATCTTCATTTCATTTAGTTTCATAAATGAAAATAGAAGAAAGAAAACCAAGAAAGGCGCACAGTTCGTCTCCATGAGTATGTAAACAGCCTGCTGGAAAATCTGCCACTTTGCACTATCATCAACTTGGGATTGCATTATTTTTATGATTTTATCCTCTGTACATTACAACCAAGGCGTACTCCAACATCTCCACCATAACTCTGTATCGCCATTGTATTTTATTTACATTATAAGAGAATGAAGACATTAGTTGAGTTTTTTTGTTGGTATCCAAATGTGTTTCGCTGCACCTATATTTTAAGTGATCAGTCAGCAGCTATTTAACATTTGATATGGACAAGTTACAGGGATATTTACATTGCATTAGTAGCTCAATAAAGTATACTGTACTATTAATGTCACTTATGAAATGCAATAACCAATGTATTCTGTTGTGTCTGTTCTTGTATGTTGTGTTACTGTGGGATAATGTTTTTTTCTGACGGTGTTTGACTCATATTTCAGAGTTTGTGGAGCCTACTCCATGGACGTGATATGTTCGACAGCCTTTGGTATTCAAGTTGATTCACAGAATAATCCAAACGACGAATTCATTGTCCACGCAAAGAAATTTTTGATTCTGGATTTTTACTCTCCAATCTTCTTGATTTTGAGTAAGCATGATCATTGGTCAGGCATATTATTCTGAAGTACAACAAAAGTTATTGTGGATAAACGAATAAATGTGGGGTTACTTTAATGTTTTTATCGAAGACGATCATAAATTCTGGACTATCTGTTATTTCCGATTAAACATGCCCACACACCAATTCGTCCACAACTGATTTTTATTGTTTTGTTTGATCTCCTCTTTTGTAGTGTTTTTGCCAGCACTCTGCTGGCTAATGCCTCACATTGGATGGTCAATCATTGATAATGACGTCCAATTGTTTTTCCGCCAAGTCACAACCAAACTTCTTAAGGAACGTGTCGCAGGGGACAAGGTAATACACCAGCATGAACTCCGTCTTGTTTACAGTTCAATTTGTCGTCTTTAATTATTAGCACATACTTGTATCTAATCAAAACTATTACATCATTTGAGTAAAACATGTCGGAGATGGATACGTTGTAAAATGCTAATATAGAAAATGAATACACACTAGCCGCTGGATACATAATGACGATATTACTACCTAAAACGTCAGAAACGTTTATAGATGTCTCGAAATCTCTAACAAAGTTAGAGATAATAAAGTGTGAACTGCTGCAAATAATAGTTATATTGGCGATTTTCAGAAACATGCAGATTTCCTTCAGTTGATGAAAAATGTACAGCAAAACCATGAAGATTCGGACGAAGACGATGATAGAGACAACGACGATGAAAATGTTTCAAGAAGTAAACCACCCACCTCCTGGTCTAGGAAAGGTATTTCACAAGTTCTATAATGCCATTAGAAATGCTGTGACTCCTTTAGGTTGATGATATTTAAAGTCTTCCTGTGGTCCCTGCGACAGGAAAATGTTACAACAACTTAGCGGACTGTTTTGATTTTGTGGTTACTTAGGGTCTTCTCAAAGGTGCTGAAATATGTGTACTGAAAACCTTTATTTAATTTACGATGTAAGCTCGTTAAAGGACTCGTTGTTTTATATGTGTTATGTTATTGCTACGATTGGCTCTTCTACTTGTATTATTCGACTTGTCTTATAAAAAGATCGAGTTGTTGAATATTTGACAGGTGATGTGTCTCAACCTCACCTACCACTGGAGTTCTTAGCAGATGTATGCAATGTATGCTAACCAAGTACTTAGTAATAGCGACAATACAACACTTGAGGTTTTCAAGGGAATGCGTTGTTTTTGTCAAAACTTTAACATTAGGAAACTATATTACATAAAAATGTAGAATTTTCTATCTCACAAATCTATTTAGCTTTTGAACTAAGAGGGTGGTAACGTTGGGTAAACATATGTCTTTAGCTTGCTGAGAACTGAAGACAGTTTGTATGGCTAAAATCTGACTTTGGTTAGTTTTTGTGTTTTAACTTCCTTCTATCATTTTAATTGTATGATTTATCAACATATTGCTACTTCTCGTGGTTATAACGATAAATAAATAAAAATAAATACAAGTTTGTGTTTATTAATTTGTGTTACATTCACTTTACCTATCTAAGTGATTATAAGACACGTATGCTACAAAACTAACGTCCATCGGTCGTCAGAAGCATTTAATTAGAGGGGCCAATATTACAAATGTAGTTTACGTAAAAACCAGACTATTGATATCTAAGCTTTCTTATGTTCTACGCATTTCAATACCAATATATGCATTTCTAGATTAAGTTTATATCGAAATATATATTCTAATGTACCCTAATGTCTAGCTTATTTCAGTTTCCCACCTTTGCTTCAACATCCGGTAAGGCTACCTGGTGATGGAGAGTAGCATATTGAGGAAGGTTTATATATGTTCACTGGCTATATTTCGTTACTTACTTCAATATATTATTATTTTAAATTCAACCAAAGTTAAAGTGAAATTGTGAAATTGTATTGATTTAGCTGATAATTGTTTTTTGAAACCAGGTATCACCTTTGATGAAATTCTTGGAAATGCAGAAATATTCTTCTTTGCTGGTTATGAGACCACGAAGACAGCTTTATGTATGACATGCTATTATCTCGCCTTGTATCCAGAGTATCAGGACAAACTACGCCAGGAATTATCGGACGTGATCGGATCGGTATGTACATAATTTTTGATAATAATTTACTTATCTTTTTCGCGCCTTGTTGAAAAAGAAAAAAACCTAACCAATCTTATCCATTTTAACCGGCCTTTAGTCAGCTTATCTGCTGTTACCCGGATAAGTGCTTACTCATTAGGTCTCATCTTGAGGGTTCTGTGCCAAGTTGTCCCTGACCTTTATTTCTCGCTGCTCTTAAGAGATGTCCATCGAAGGACTTTTTCGTGATGCTGATTTCTGGTAATTTAAATATATCCGTTCTTATAATGTGATTATAAACCAATTGCTTCCAAGCTTTTCAACTACAAGCAAACGCTACAACAGCAGGGTAGAGATGGCCATTTCATTTCTGCTTTTTAAGCATCTTCTGGTTCTATAATCCCATACACTAACAGTTCAACTGAACGAGTAGTAAATAGCTATCTTAACATTATCAAAAATTGCAACGCTGCAAAGTAATAATATGGATACTTACCTGCCTCGTTTTGGTATTGTAATGGATTCCGACACTTCGAATTCTTATAACCAACGTTTTATCGATGACTCTGATAGATGGTCAATCATGACGTTAACTAATACCATTCTTATTACTTTACTATTTCTTGGTATCTTTTGAGTATCAATTCCTCAAATATTTCTTATATCAAATATTTATTTTGCCAGTCGAAGAACAAACTGTGTCCCTCTTTTAGCTGCTTTGTTATTATTATGATATTGTGCTGACTTTATTGAAGACCTTTTCAAGACTGGTAACAAAAACTTTGTCAAGTCTTTCAGTTTCACATCCGGATATATCGAAGATGTATTATCTTTAAAAAGCAAGAATCTTATTGACGACGGCGATCGTGTATTCTACTTTAACTGCTTCCCTCGATTCAAAATTATAATATGACCAGAAGGAGCGGCTAAGTATGTTTTCCTATTCTGATTGTTATTTTTCTTGATAATAACATAGATACATCCCCAACTTACAACGTCACATTGCAGTCGATTTGGTATTGAACAGCCTACTTCGTATATAACGATAGATGGCGACTGCTGAAGGGCAGATATACAACAAGGAAATTTGCTTTTACTATTGTTTAATGCGATGGTCAATGTGTTTTATTATGCTCATCAATGTGCCTTTTTTTCATTGCGTTTCACTACACCAGTTGTTGTTCAAGGTCGTACACAGGCTTGTATTTGACATGGCGGATGTCGTAAATAAACCAAACGACGATTACTCTCATTTTTTGTCGTTCATTTTTATTAATTTTGTTAGTCATCTTTAAGATACAAGGGTTGGTATTCTTGTTTGACATGAACATCTTGGCGGTGCGTTTGCGGCAGCAGTGATGGAAAGATAAGAGGCTACTAGGAATAGGACTGATGATGTCCTGTATCTTTAAGGAACCAGGACTAGAGAAATCTAAACATTCGTTAGCGAATACAAATATTAGATAATTGTAAGAAACTAAAGTGAGCTTTGAGGTTTCTAATGAAAACCTGTTTTTGGTATTTTGAAGCGAAAATCGTAAAGCCAATTTGCAAGATATAGTGTGACGATTTTGTTTTCGAGATAATATTAACAAACATTGTCGAGATTCAAGCTTATTAATTGTGGTATGAACAGTTTTAAAAAGACTGTAAATTCATTGTAATATTCATGAAATTATTTTCTTAACAACCAGTATTTAGTTATTACAAGTTGTTACCATGATACAGCAAAATACTATTTATGGAGATGATTGATGTCAAAATATTTCAGACATTGCAAAAGTGGTAAGTCTGTTAATACAAACAAGTCCGATTAAAAGTAGGGAAGCTGCTTTGAACATATCTAGTTTCCTTTCACAGTACGATCCTCTGCGTGCTTCAATCTGGGCCCACGAAAGTGAGCAATACAAATTTGAAAACTTGTTTCATAAATGATGTAAAAGTTTATATTTTACAGAATCCAATGACATACGAGAACCTTCGCCAGGTAAAATACCTAGAAATGATAACCAACGAATCAATGCGAATTAACCCTCCTTTCGGACGGTAAGGATGCCACTTCTGTAGATCATAACGAAGTGGAAAATATGTTTTTATTTTTCTTAAAATTTACCGAGTTTAACAACTGAAATAACCGATATCATTCCCTTCCTTTATTCCGTTCATTATCTGAAACATACAACACAACGTTTGTTCCTAGATGCTTCATATTATAAGTAAATCTAGGGGAAGATCGATTCATTATATATGTAGCACATATGTAAAATATATATAAATGGCAAAGGTTCTATTCGCTTGCACGTTCGTGAGTTTGTAGTCACATATGAAGGGATTTGTATAAGTGTTGTTGAACTAGCTTGGCATGCAACGTGTACCAATACCGATGTTATATAATAATGAGGTCCTGCCACAATTACAAATTTACTGACCACTTGATATCATCATCTTGATAATAAGTTTGCTTTGTTAGATTAGTATTAAAATTACACTGAAAGGTGTGTTTAGCATTAAAAATAATTCGGCATTAATGACCCGATGGTCAATTCATCCTGGTAGGTACACGGACAGGAAGGTATACACACCAACATATATTGAAATTATCTGTGTTTATCCTTTGATATAATTGCGATTTAACAGACAGGTGCTGTTTTTGGACAATTCACTTGTTTCACAGTAAATGACACTTTTCCATCATTCATGTCCAACATGCATTTATATTAGATGCAAATGAGTAACATAATTGGATTACATAACTTCGATTAATGCTAAACCGCGTTGTCAAGTGATGAATTATATAGCCTGACAAAAGATATATGTAACATACATATCTAAAGTTGTTTGGTAAACGTAAGTGTGAAAGACTTTAAACTGTTTTTGACAGGACGACTAGAGTGTGCGTGAGAGATACCGAGATCAATGGTGTGAAGATTCCGGCAGGCATGCAAATCAGTATTCCAATATACAACATCCACCTTGATCCCGACAACTGGGAAGATCCGGAAAAATTCATCCCTGAAAGGTACATATCATCTGTTATTTTCACAGTATGTCTGTGTTGACCTCTATGATTAAGACTTGTATTGACAAATCACCTATTTGACAACTATTAAAAAGAAATAGAAACAAACAAATAAATTCATGTCAGTTTCGTGAAGTCAGCTCATCATACGACATACAACATACAACATATTGAATGTTGAGCGGCTCGGCTTACGACACATAGGTTCATTTGTTTAATTTCGTATTTGACGGGTTCATATCATCTCGATATCAGGCTATTATTAATTTTCTCTTACAAAATGGCCGGAATATTATGTGTCCTTGTTGTGCCATCTCCTTTATCTGTATCCTGTATCAATTGTAAATGACACTTTACCCCAAGCTTTAATCGCATTGCACTACAGATTTGCTGACATGGACACTATTGATCCAATGACCTTTCTCCCGTTCGGATACGGTCCCAGAAACTGTATTGGAATGAGACTTGCCGAAATGGAGTTGAAAATGGCACTTGCAAAAGTCGTCCGTAGTTTCCAAATTTCCGTTTGTGGTGAAACAGAGGTAATTATTTATTTTGACATTGTGAGAATTTAATTTGTTACATTAGCATCTGAATGATAGATTTATCGTGGTATTATCAAACAAAAGGTGACGTCAACCGATTCAACTGGATTTAAATGATATATTGCATTCCCCCTTATATTGTTACCGCTCGGGCGTAAATAGTCTCTAGGATATATTGCATTTTATTATTTTGTTTATATGTAGATTCCTCTAGACTTGAAGAAACTCGGAATGATGACGCCGACATCTTCTACACTCAAAATGTTGGAGATCAAATCATAAAAATGTGAAACAATCTGGCAAAGAGGCTATTGTTGGAAAAGGACTAATATTTAAGGAGATTTAATAAGGATTTTCGATGATATTCGTTAGTTTGGAAATATTTGTGTATCTACTGTTTTCTTGATACACGAACAATAACATATAGATGCGTCCCAACGTTTGAAGACTGACCGGTTTTATTTGACTGGGTATAACTTAGCTGAGAAAACGATTGTTAACCTGTACATCGATGTGATGACTTGTTAATTAGCAGTTTGACTTTAAAAGTAACCATGTGGAGCGTCATATATTGTTCTTGTTTATCAGAGTACCCTAGCATAATACAATAGACATATTTGTGTAACTGGCATATATAGAAATATTGCTTTAACGTTACGCGACAGTGATTGCTTGTTCTATCAAAAGTTTCGTCCTCGCAACAAAGACGTTACTGACCTGTACACTGTTTTTCATATTTGCAAACGTTTTCTGTAAGGGGATGCTTGTGAATTATGGGATGGTTGTACTAAATTTGAATCAGAAAAATTAGAGAAAGCCCAAAGAGGAGCTGCTCGAATTATATCCGGTCTTCCTTCATATTCCCGTATCGAAGATTTACATTTTGAAACAGGTTTAGAAACTCTTTCTAATCGTCGAAAACGTAGAAAACTCCCAACTTTTATACAAAATGCAAAACAACTTAACTCCAGATTATTTAAACGATCTCCTGCCACCTACTATTGCAGAAAATAACAGGTACACTCTTAGAAATAACAGGTACACTCTTAGAAATAACTGTGATTAAAGAGTTCCTCTATTTGGACTTTCTCTTGCCAATCTTTCCTTTATACCTTCCACTCTTCGTATCTGAAATTCCATAGATCTATCAGTACGATCGTTGCCTTCTATACATTTATTCAAAAACTCTCTTACCTCAAATGTACAACCATCCCCTCCTATCTACTTCAGTTTTGGAGAATGCAAATTAAATATAATACATACTAAACTGAGGCACAATTGTAGTTCCCTTAAGTATGACCTTTACAGAGTTAATCTTGTCGAGAGTCCATTTTGCATCTGTGGACATCCTTGTTAGAATGCCTTTCAGTTTTTCTTTGAGTGTCAACTTTTTAGCAATGAAACGCGTAATTTGTTTCAAAATTTGAATGCTTAAGGTATAGATTTAAATTTAGAGATTCTTTTGTTTGGCAATCCAGATCTTTCGGTAGACCTTAACTCTTACGTTTTTAGACATGTGCATCACTTCAGCAAATCCAGCAAAAGATTTTGAACGGTGCTCTTTTAAAGTTGTTTATTTGTACCTGTGTGAATATTATATATATATATCTACTTCATGTTTATGCCTATTATCATTGTTGACATGTAATTGTAAATGTAAGACGGGAGAAGGCTGTGATAAGTTGTAATAACTTGTGCCCAATCCCTTGTTTAATTTTATTGACAATAAATATGTTTAAAAAAAGGATTTTACAATGGTGGGCGCCAAGATCCCTCTGGAATTTCTTCTTTCTTTATTAAAATTAAACATTAAATTTAAAGATATCTATATTTCATCTTAAGATATCTCTTTTAAACTTGTATGATATATTTCAAATGTAAAAAAGCTTTCGCTAATTAAATGAATAATGTCTCAAATTGAAGATCGATTAGAGAAATATTGACATATCTTTTAAATTGCTCTTCAAAGATACACTTTTAATTTAAAAGTATCTCTTTTACTTAATGAGATTATACGCTTCTATGATTTTTTAGATATCCGTTTTATAACTGGATATATCTCTATTTGTTTTAGAGATAACTATACAAATTAAAGATATATTCATTATATCTAAAGATACCTTTTTTTTGAATTAGAGATAGCAAAGCTTCATTTAATTATATATCATATACTTTTACAACCAATCTTTGGTTATTAAATGTTGGCTTGCCCTGTACGCTTGTACAAATGACGAAACAGTGGTTTGACCAGCATTTGAAGTTGCAGTTATGAGAAAAAGTAGATTGCTGATGAATGACAGCAGTCTCTTTGGGAACCATGTACCACTGCAGGCAAAACGCTGCATACAGTTATAACCCCCCCCCCCCTAATTTTGTTTTGGATCAAACTAGCAAAAATAGCCAACGGTACTACAGTGTACCGTTGACAGGATAGCTTCGTTGGTACATGTACAATTTAAGAGAGACAGTATATTTTCAGACGTCCAGGATGTGAATCCCGGTTTTACTCATTTCATTGTTATATCAGAACACTGATATTGTTTTTTTTCGTATTTCTTCATAACATTATTGTCATAAGAATTCAGAAAGGTTATTTTCAGAAATGATTTAAAAAGTTATACCAGAAAAATTCCCGATGAATATATACAGCGAAGTGTTCTGCAGTGGTACTGGGATCCTTAGAATAAAAAATATCACTCAAAGCATAGTAAGCTAAGAAATGTTTATTCAAACTTCTAAAAAATAGACATTTAGACAATGTAACATAAAATTTGGTAACAAATATAGGTTGTTTACAAATATTAATAGAAGAAATATGTTTGATCTATAAAATAGCACATAAATATATCTTAAACAAGAGGCCTATGGGCCTTAACGGTCACCTGAGTTGTGATATGACAGAAACAAATATTGTATCTAATCAAAATATGGCTATCAGACAGCGGATTCCCTGACAAAATTATGTTATTTATTTAATTATGTTACTAAAATAACAGGGGGGGTGGGGGTTGTTAATAAAAGTTGATAGGAAATAGGGACCTTTCCATCCATCCATCCATGCAGAGATTTTGATTCTCGCAAAGCTGGGTCTAAAAAGGAAGACTATTAAAATTTAAGACAATCGGACCTCTTTAGGCCCCGCCTTCGGGCACTAGAGTCTTTAACTTTATAAAACCATACTACATTCACAGGATTATTCCTCCAAACACTGTTTAAATTCTTTCCCATGGAAAATAAGCACAATATACCAAAAAATGTCTTTAGCAGTATAAACTATACAATTTACACTCTGAATTTTGATAAAAAGCCTTATGACCTTTTTTTCTCATGAAGAGGATTGGATTTCAGCAAATTTGGGTCTGAAGAAGAAAACTGTTGCCGATTTGACCCCTTTTGGACCCAATCCTCAGACCCTAGGGGCGAATTAGGGTCTGGTTTTTTATACCATCAAACTGCAATCCTCAGACCCTAGGGGTGAATCAGGGTCTGGTTTTTCATACCATCAAACTGCAATCACATGTTGATAATTCCAACCAAGTTTGAATTCTTACCCACTGAAAAAAAAAGCCAACTATTCCCAAGATAGTTATTTCTCTAAATAACTATATAAATATTAAAGATTACCCCCTCCCGAAGGGTAATAGGTAACCCGAGGATATTAAAATTCAGTTTTTAGGAAAAAAAACGCCTTTAGCCCTTCCATCCATGAATAGTGTATAATTCCAGTAAAACTTTGTCTGAAGAAGTTTGTTTTAATTTCTCCAATTTGACCCCATTTAGGCCCACCCTCAATCCCTTTGGGGTGAGTCAGCGCTTAGATGTTTATAATATCAAACTCCAATCACACGATGATCAATCCAACCAATTATCAACTTGTATAAGGCATCCAAATACCTTTCCATCCATGAACAAAAACATGTATTTTATTCCAGATAATCTGAAGAAGGATTTGTTGAAATTTTAGCCAATTTGATCCCTTTTGTTCCTGTCTCTCGGATCCCTTGGGGGTTAGATAACAGAGAATTTGTCAAAAATGGGAGTTTTTTTACGGACGGACGACGACGACACGACACAGGACAAAAGACGATTGCAATATTTCTATGGTGACCTAAACAGGCTTAATCGAATACAGACAAGTCTCGAAAATGAGCAATGGTTTGCTGTAGGTAAACGTTCATAGAAAACAAAATGGNGGGGGGGCATTTTGATCTTTGATCTTTAACAGCCGAAGTCGCACGGCGATGGTTCATTATTTCGTAAAAACAACACAATATCCAATTGGGTTTATTATAAGGAGCACGTATTTGTAGTCACACCTGTTTTTGTAGAATGACTTTTCACTAGGTAAAATTGTGGTAGTAAAATCAGTTAACCACTGTTAAAAATACATTAAGTAGGGACCAAACAGCCGGTCAAAGTGTGTGTAGACAGAAAGCTTACATTTACGTGATGCCGGATCATCTTAAATAGAAGTTTTCTAACAGCCGGTCTAGGTAAGGAGGTCTACCAGACAATGCAGAGCTGCCGACGTGACTTGGTATCAACAACAGGTTGTTTGGTAAATGGTTTGGATCAACACATCACGGATTGTTATCATTTTATCTGAACCGCGAAATCTATAAAATCCATACTGGTGCTTTCCACCTCCAGATCAACCTCTTTAATTGTAATCAATGACTATAACTATGTGTAATTTGCATCTATGAATTAAAAAAACCCACCACGAAAACTTATTTGGTGTTGCCATGATTTTGTATTCTTACTAGGTCATCTCCTGGCAGCATACTGCACCAAAATGATAACACATATACACATTTTAAGCTATATGAAATAAATACAGCAGACAGAAATAAATGAGGGGGAAAGGGGGAAGAAGGTATGACTAAGTGTGGCTACGTTTTATCAATCAGAACATCGTCTACTGCCGAAGATACCATACAGGGAATGTTACAGAAATTGATATGAGATATTTATTAGGTTCTGATTATAATAAACGTGATTCAATATTAAGTTGTTTCTACGGTATTTAATATCTTTGATACCTCGCGATAAAACCATACCGATCACAAAACTGTATTGGCGACCGTGCAATATTACTAATCTATAATAGCCAGGATTCGAACTAGTCATTCGGAAGGTGTTTTAGACAAAACGTAGTTCAAACTCGTAGTTCATTAAGAAAACGTCGAAGAATTGCATAGCGTAGTAGGAGTTATTTTGGTATAAAACGCTTATTTGAGCACTAGTTCAAGACAATAATGAAACAGCAAAGAATGTCTAAGCCTCAACCAAAATGTGATTCGAATACAAAATCGAGGAGGGAAAAGTATTTAACCACCTTTTATGCACTCTCAAACAGCTGTATTTTTGTACCTCAGAACTGCCAGAAGTACTAGAGCACTGAAAGGCCAGCAATATCCCGCCATGTACATGACCGTAGCCATCCTAGTTTTTTGTTTCTGAGATTATGACTTTTACCGCCAGTCATTTTTTAGTAATAGTAACCTTGACTTTTATCTTTTTTTTTAAATCCTCATGTATATATCATGTACATATATTTGGAAACAGTGACCTTGATATTGACCTAAGGACCCTATAAAACCCCTTTTGAACATCTGCATACCACAATGCACAACGCCTTTAAGTAACAGTGACCTTGACCTTAGGGGGCGATCTTCTGCAGCGCTGGTTCAAATCGCGTCTATTTAAGATATCTTACTATACACACAGAATCAAAAACAAGTATACACCAAAACAGCTCTGTCTTCTTGTAGTTTTCTGGTTACTAATCCATTGCTTATTCTCGAGACTGTATGGTACATGTATCTTATACAAAGGAACCACATAAGCTATCAATGTAAATTGTTAATCCGGGCAACTGAGTTCAAAATGTCAACAATATTGTATTGCCGATGAATGTAGCTGATTATTAGAAATACTGCAACTCCAATTTTCTGTATCTAATCAAGTCAGATTTAAACAGACATTTTTGGGAGCGTGACACAGATTTTCATCCCACGGTACGTATACTCAGGAAAAAAGAAGGGTGGGCACTCCTTTAAGCTATTTAATGCAAGTGTTGATAGTCTTTATTTATATACTTGATTACAAAGTTGAGTCAACATTGTTTTGTTTTAAAACATTTACCTTGACGCGAATCGTATGCAGTGGGGAATTAAAAAAACAACATTGTCCTCATAATTTCGCCTCGATGGCGTACCTTGTGCTAATTCGTATGCACCACAATAATTATGGTGCGGTGACCATCACACTACCACCAACAAAACGGCCCCGGTAAGCAACGCAGCTCACAGCGAGTTCACTCAGACGTCTCAGATCTACACCTTCCATCACCAATAGCCAAGCAGAATCTGGCTACCTCAGTACAATGATCATTGTTCCATTGGGTTGAAATCCAACGACGGTGTATACGGCCCCGATTAAAGTCATCGTTATGATGACGTTATGTCGAGACGGACATTGTATAAGGGCGACGCACTTTTTATTCGGCTACTTTTAAGTGGTTTCGGCAGATTCAGGACGACTAAGCAGTATCTGTGATTTTGCAGATGGATTAGCCGTTTCAGGAGGTTACACGGTGTCTTCCGCTTTGTGAACATGTATACCTCGACCCATCCTCGATATCCAGGGGTTGCGCTCACTTTTGCTCTCTGCACCCCTGGAATCATCCTCGATATCCAGGGGTTACGCTCACTTTCGCTCTCTGTACCCCTGGAATATGTAATAGCAAATTTGAAGGCACGAAGAAAGCTTTGTTTGAGTGGTCTCAGGTAAAAAAAACCCTGACCAATCGCTAGGCTGATACATTTGTACCTGTCCTTTGAATATTACAATGGAGAGACGCCCGACTTCAAAACCTGTCAATTTTTACCGTTACGTGGCCGCGAGATACAAAGGATCGAACCAGTTTTCTTGTCTCATCAACAATTTGGCGCACACCGAGCCTTCATTTTTGCTATGACATATAACAGGGGTACAGAGAGCGAAAGTGAGCGTAACCCTTGGATATCGAGGATGACCTCGACCAAGTTCGGTTAAAACGATTTGACAGAAGGTTTACGCTCTTCAAACTACAACCAAATTGTTGTGCAAGTTGACGTTGTAACACTCCTGCTTGGAGCATGACAACAGCCCTTTCCCTCTGACCTCGTGACAGCCAAGGAATGTAAAAATACGTGTTTGTGTTAATTGTTTTTAAGGTTTTCAATCGTAGTAGGTTGCCAGAGGAATCGCGTTTACGTTTTACACTGGGCACTTGCGTTATTCACGAATTATTTACGAAAACACACGAGGAACTCTTTGGTCCCACAGACATTTACAGCTGAATGATTTCAATGAATAGGATATCACTTGGTCTCGGTATTCCATTCCCGAATGTTCTACTTTAACCGATATAGAGGTTGTCCCCAAGGGAGTGGTGTGTTAACCTTTCTTTTTTCGCTGAGCATATATGTTCAGGTACTACATTTCATTGATTGACCGGGAGATGTGGATCTATGTTATGAAAGCGGAATTTTATATTTGCATTATAATTAAAATTGAAAAAAACACTGTTCATGACATTGGACTCAAAATTATGACTCTTTTTATATTATACATAGAAAATCAACGATGTCTGTACAAATTAAGAAAAAAGATACATATAAATATATATATATATATATAAAAATGAAACATGAATCAATCTTAACACAACTGAACCATGGGGCTTCATTGATGATGGTGATTTAATTTCACACAGCGGCTCTTCTTGGTGATGACGTCACTTCAAGCCGCGGTTCTTCTTGGTGATGACATCACTTTAAGCAGCTGGTTCTAATTTTGATGTTTCACTCACTTCCTATTTAAAACCATGTAAAAAAACATGTTCAGCTCTTTGATAATTAATTAATTGATTGAAGGAAAACGACAAAAAATCTTAATTCTGATAAATCGATTTGGACAAAAGCCTTTATACTGAATAATTGTTGAAAATTACAAAATCAAACAAAGAATGAGTACTGTAGCCCATACGAGATAAGTAAAGTTTTTGTTACGGTAGGGTAAACATTGAGTGGGAATCATTTAGTTGATACGTTTTAGTGTAGGACTATAAGGATGGAGGCTATATCAGTGAAGTTAACACCGATATTGCCCGCTATTACATGTACCAATCATTCACTGATGGAGAAAGATATTAAACGAACTCTTCTATTCAACTTATTGACGAGGATTTTCAGTTCAATAAGAGATAAAATATTTACACTGAGACCTGTATTCAGAGACCATCTTCAAGCATATCATTAAGTGGTGTCTTTTTGCATGTAATCTCTTAGTATTGATGCAGTGAACAGGACAGGATTGAGATAAGGAGTTTAAAACGTGGTCTCTGAACACAGGTTTCCTATTTATACAGATGACCTCTAGGACTGGTTTGATTCTATCCCCTTGTTAAATTTGAACAAATAAATATTTGAAAAATATCGTTAATTTGTAAACGACTCAAGAGGCGCCAATGCTTTCAAAAACACGTGCTTCTCCAGATATTACGTAAAGCTTACAATTTAATCTGTCTGTTTCGTCTGCATAGCAGCATGAAGGTGATTGTTTCTCTAAAACTAAACGTGACGTCATACGGCCCCCAGGAAATATATCGGTCTAATGTTGCTCCGTCCTCCATGTAACCAAGACGTCTATCTGACAAAAGAAATTGAAATATAAAGATTGCATCAACACGCTATTGTGCTATTTAGTTATCAATAACACACCTTATGGACTACTTGGCTCTTTCGTCGAGCCGTGGACGTCATTCTGAAATGATTCGAGTCTTTCCCGTCTTGTCGTAAAGATCGGTTACCAAGCGCCCTAAAATAATCGAGGAAAACAAGAGATGTTTACTTTTTTTTTTACCGATATGTTTACTATTTCGTTTATGTTTTGTGCAGCATTTCACTCATGGTAACGCATATGTGCTGAGTTGCATATTTAATTTGGTTTATAGGATCCTTCAGGACCCCAATGTATACACATTTAGCTCCCAGAGTTATTAAATATCAATATATCATCGACTTAAGATTCAGCTTCATGTTTATTGATACAAATGATTAAATCTTCCAAATCAAATGGCTACACCCTTTTAAAAATATGCTCTTTATACTATTAGTCCATAGTCATTATACATCAAAATAAACTCCAATAGGACAGACAACAAACCGAGACAACACTGTATTTTATATATCCTTCTCAAAATTAAGACAATTATGCCACAGAAAATACGTCGGGATAACACTTTATTCTAGATATCTCACTCGAAATACATAAAACAATTTTTTTAGGACAAAAGGCACGCCGATATAAGATGGTGCTCTAGAACTTGTCTAAGGGCAGAAACACGTCGACATAACTGGTTAATCAAGACTCGGAACACGGAAAATACACTGTCGTATATAGGACATAATAAAACGTCGACACAATACCAACATTGGTATAACGACGGACGACTGAAATAAAAAAAGGCAAATCGAGGAGCAACTAGAATGGTAAATACAACCTTTGTTTTAACGACGTAATACTGTAATCAAAGTGACTAACCATGAAATATCGAGAAGCGATTGGTACGGTACGTATCTACTAACTTCGTTTTAACGACGTAATACTGTAATCAAAGTAAATAACGATGACATATCGAGAAGCGACTGGTACGGTACGTATCTACTAACTTCGTTTTAACGACCCACGCCTTTAATCAAAGTAAATAACGATGACATATCGAGAAGCGACTGGTACGGTACGTATCTACTAACTCCGTTTTAACGACACACGCCTTTACTCAAAGTAAATAACGATGACATATCGAGAAGCGACTGGTACGGTACGTATCTACTAACTCCGTTTTAACGACACACGCCTTTACTCAAAGTAAATAACGATGACATATCGAGAAGCAACTGGTACGGTACGTATCTACTAACTTCTTCTTAACGACACACGCCTTTAATCAAAGTAAATAACGATGACATATCGAGAAGCGAATGGCACGGTACGTATCTACTAACTTCGTTTTAACGACATACGCCTTTAATCAAAGTAAATAACGATGACATATCGAGAAGCGATTGGTACGGTACGTATCTACTAACTTCGTTTTAACGAAACACGCCTTTAATCAAAGTAAATAACGATGACATATCGAGAAGCGACTGGTACGGTACGCATATACTAACTTCGTTTTAACGACACACGCCTTTAATCAAAGTAAATAACGATGACATATCGAGATGCGACTGGTACGGTACGTATCTACTAACTTCGTTTTAACGAAACACGCCTTTAATCAAAGTAAATAACGATGACATATCGAGAAGCGACTGGTACGGTACGTATCTACTAACTTCGTTTTAACGAAACACGCCTTTAATCAAAGTAAATAACGATTACATATCGAGAAGCGATTGGTACGGTACGTATCTACTAACTTCGTTATATTGACACACGCCTTTTATCAAAGTGATTAACGATGACATATCGAGAAGCGACTGGTACGGTACGGATCTACTAACTTTGTTTTAACGACACACGCCTTTAATCAAAGTGACTAACCATGAAATATCGAGAAGCGATTGGTCCGGTACGTATCTACTAACTTCGTTTTAACGACACACGACTTTAATCAAAGTGACTAACCATGAAATATCGAGAAGTGATTGGTACCGTACGTATCTACTAACTTCGTTTTAACGAAACACGCCTTTAATCAAAGTAAATAACGATGACATATCGAGACGCGACTGCGACGGTACGTATCTACTAACTTCGTTATAACGACACACGACTTTAATCAAAGTAAATAACGATGACATATCGAGAAGCGATTGGTACGGTACGTATCTTCTAACTTCGTTATAACGACACACGCCTTTAATCAAAGTGAATAACGATGACATATCGAGACGCGACTGGTACGGTACGTATCTACTAACTTCGTTATAACGACACACGACTTTAATCAAAGTAAATAACGATGACATATCGAAAAGCGACTGGTATGGAAAATACTTACTTTGTTATAACGAGATACTTCTTTAATCAAAGAAAATATCCATGAAATATCGAGAAGTAACTAAACATGAAATATAGAGAAGCGACTGGTACGGTATAAACTTACTTCGTTTTAACGACACACGACTGTAATCAAAGTAAATAACTATGCCTTATTGACATCTGGATACCCGATTGATGAGGTTAACACTAACATTGGTATAACGACATAGGACTGAGTAATCGTACGTACCTTGCACCCGAACCGTTCTCCGGATTGTTTCCCATTTTCAACGTGAGATCCATCCAATTGTGTAATTTCCCATTGGTAAGAATAAATCCAATCTCGGAATTTGTCACAACACATCAACAAATTGAACACTTACAACATCAATATCACAACAACAGTATAATATAAAAAAAATATCAATAACAATTCAAAAATGTCCATGGGCCTGAATCGTTGACCTGTTAATTTGTAAACACAAATTTGGGATCTTGGTGGCAAATTAAGATTTCTTTTAACTTCAGAATTTCAACTATAACGCTTGGTCTAATAAGTTTTTTTTGTTAAATTTTTACACAGTTTTAACTGTGTTCGCCATAAATATGTGCGAACATACTGTAGTTTATATTGTAACATCCTTCTCATCAGCCAGCTATTTATGTGATATACCATTCCTCTACTACCACTGAGTTATAGGATGGTAGACTTTATTTCTAATATTTGAGACATTTTACCCATGAATTTCTTTACTCTGATATTATGCGTTGTCAAAAGTCGTTTATTAGGGCCATGCTTTCTGCTGTTGACTTCAGCAGGTTACACGGTAAATTAAAGACTGCAGGTGTTAAGGTTTTTTAGGAGAAGTGTTTTTGCGACGCTTTGACCTCTTTGACATATAATGTGAGTCAAGCTCATGATCAGCATAGTGCTAACCGATATTTATGATAATATATTGCTGAGAAGAATTATTTCAAAGTAGTGACGGAAGAGCAAACGGCGGACAGATGGCAGACGGGTGATCGATTGAGGAGACGATGGACTCCGCATCATGGCATAAGCTCACGGGCACTTTATGCCAGATAAGCTAAACATAAGAATTTCCCATGTTTCAAAATAAACAATATTATTATAAGAAAATACACATAGGAAAAACATCATAACATCAGTATCTATATACATCAAAATATCAGTATAATGTAAAAATTACATATATTTATATAATAACAACGATATTTTTACTTCTTGTATACAAAAAATATAATATAGATGGAATAGAAACATTGTCTCACAATGACACTGGTGGTATATGATGCGTACCATAATAGCAGCAATGGGCCGAGGGACATTTAGAGCTCACCTGGAATTTTCTACACTATATAAAAACCCGTTGAATATCATACACGTTTATCAAAAAAATAAAATAAAAATAAGCTTTAACAAGAACGGAATCCGTAAAGGCACGCAAGACAACACTAACTTAAATGTGGTTGTCTTCCATACCCCTCATTTTAGTACATTGTACATGGTTATAGTGTAGGGATCTCAACTGTTTCAATGTTAGATCCAGGTAGAGCTTCCAAAGGTGTTGGAAGTATCCAGGAATGGGGTCATATCTCCAAAGCAAAGCATAGGTAAATATTTGGTTATAGGATGGAAACCTCAACTGTTTCCATGTCATGATACAGGGAGTTAATACCATTGGGGAGGGCTCACTCCCTGGTCCCAAACCCGTTATCGTAGATACATTCATCTTTTGATGTCCACGCTCTGTGTAAGAAGCCAAATAGAGGAGATCGCAGTCATTCTAAAGTAGTACATCTGTACACCCCTAATTCTACTTACGAAGCCCATCTCTGACCCTAGGGATCTCACCACCTTCACCATACAAAACATTATTAGTTTGCCTTAGAAATATTTAACAGTTGTTCATAAGGAGTAGACATTTGAAATGAAAATGCCCCTAATTTACATTTAAGGCCCCACCCATATTGTAAGAGAGGATATACAATCTTCATTTATTGGCATGATCGCCTTGCCTCGGTAAATGTGCAAAAGTGGATGAGAAGAAGCCAATGACAAGAATATTGTTTTAAAAATATCTTGTACATAACTTTAAGGTCCATTATATCCCTCCATACAATACCTGTATTTGTTTACACATGTCACTGAGGCTTATAGAAGTCAGTTGGAAAATATGCTTTTTGACTGCGAACATATTAAAGGTATTTGTATAAAGTTGATTTATCAGAAGTGTTTGTAGTTCGAACAAATTTCTCATCGCTCCACATGCATGTAATCGCAAGTCCACCTGCAGTGGCCTCACGATTTTTTTTCAAAGGCTCGCGATGAAAGAATTGTCCTCACGACAAACCCTGAAACATAGTGTCATAATTTGTATTTCGTTCAGGAGTAGTAGGCTTTAGAAGATATACTAATCTTATTCTGCTCTATTATGGTCCTACATTATGCCATGTTCCTAAGGCCCCAGATGTCAAACAAACAACTCTGCACACTTCCATCAAGGCTTCAATTCCCAAAATAGGTCGAAATTGTATCATTCACTCTGGAGAAGTAGGTTTCTAAGGAAACAATGACGCATGACCGACGAAAGACAACTGCTGCGCCATTTTATAAGTTCATCAGTCCTGTGGACAAGGTGAATAGCTAAAAACACTTTTTTTCATTAATCACAAGATATCACTAACAAGTATTACAAACACACAAAAATGAAATTGCTCCATTACCTTAGCATTTCAAAAGAGAAATATTATATTAACCATAATATCAACAATAATATAGACACATTGTCTTATGAATCACAAGAATGAAATATTGTATACATCATAACAAAAAAAATGAATGTTGACATACTGTCTTACACATAATTAAAACAATGAACATTACATGAATCACAACAACAAAAAACATGGAATATACACACTGTCATAAATCACAAGCACGAAACACTATGTGTATCATAATCAAAAATGTCTCACAAGTCACAAGGATGAAATATTATATACATAATAACAAAAGATCAAATTGACATACTGTCTAATACATGATTGAAAATTAAATATTACATGTATTATAATAAAAAAAAACATGAAATATACACTCTGTTTCATGAATCACTAGATCGAAAATTATATGAATCATAATCAAAAATGGAATCGACACACTGTGTCTTGCATAACAATATAAACTTATATGTAGCATGAAAAGGCTTGGAGAAGACACAATGTTTCATGAATGACAGGAAGATAATATTAAATATTTTATAATAAGAATGGAAATGACACAATGTATAATAAATCACAAATATGAAATATGAAATGTACCATAAAAAACCCTAGAAAAGAATGCAATAGACACATTGTGATATAAAACAATGAAACAGTTTTTGTGTTATAACACAAAATGGAATAGGCACACTGCCATATGAATAACAAAAATGAAGTATAATATGCAGTATATTTATCATAGAACCAAAAGGGAAGAAAGGACTCTCGTAAAATAATGAAACATTATTTGTGTTATGATTAAAAAATGGAATAGACACAGTCTTATGAATAAAAAGAATGAAGTATAATATGCAGTGTATTCATCTTAGAACCAAAAGGGAAGAAAGGACTCTCGTAAAAGAATGAAACACTATTTGTGTTATAATTAAAAAATGGAATAGACACACTGTCTCATGCGTTAATAACAAAACTGAAACAAAACAATACAATTATCATGATAAAAACATGAAATAGACCCACTGTCTCATGCAATACAAGAATGAAATACAAAATGTAGGTTAATAACAAAAACGAATGTGCACACTGTTTATATGTATCATATTAAAACAAAACATTGAACTACACAGCCGAATTTAAGCTTAAACCTATGTGTGTTACATATACATATACTTGTACATAAGTGGATATTTACAATATGTATTGTATTGTTTTGTTTATTACATATAATCAGTGGTGATCATTTATATTTGAGCGATATTTACATAAGTATTACAACACATTAAATGCAGCTGTGTTTTGTTGATGATCATGTGTTACAGACAATGGACTTGCATAATATGTTGATCAACAGTGGTTTGTATACTAGCTTAGCCCCGACCCCACTGGTCTGTATACTAACTAAGCCCCGACTCCCGTTGATCTGTATACTAGCTAAGCCCCGACCCCCACTGGTCTGTGTACTAGCTCAGCCCCGACCACCGCTGGTCTGTATACTAGCTAAGCCCCGACCCTCACTGGTCTGTATACTAGCTCAGCCCCGATCTATTTTGTTCTAGCTAAGAACATGTTTATTTTCTTGTTGGATTATGCTTTGTGTTAATCATCTCAGAGAAGGCAAGTTTATTTTTATTGGCTTTTTATGTTTCAACACACAAACGCTGGTTTATATGGAGACTTTCTCCTGAAAAGACATCGTTATATTTGCTTTAATGCCTGTTTACTTTGTAATTAAACGTTTTTTCTTAACTGACAGCTTCAATAATGTTTTAATTTATAAGAATTGATTGAAAAAATTACATCTTCAGCACACACATAGGCATACACTCAAAGGGAGATATTAGCCAGGTGACATATGACTAGGCAGATCCTGAAAATTCCTCAAATTGTATTGATTAATGTATATGTTAATCGTATTAATTGTATATATATATGTACTGTAAAGCGCTGTATAGTGGCTTATGCTACATTTTAGCTAGATAGGGCGCTATATCAAATGCTGTATATTATTATTTTTACTATGCAATTATCACAACTTTTGTTGAAAGTCATTAAATGCAGTACAAAGTTACTTCAAGTATAAGGTCTTAATTCAGTTACCTGAAACTTTTCTATTTCTGTGTATTTTATTCAGTAATTACCTTTGGCAGAATAAGTAGCTTCAGGCATATATCCACTGCTATCCCGTCACAGGTTAAGTGTTTTCGCAATAACTAGGGTAGTTTTTCCGTCAAATTAACTTTTTTTTAACCATATTTTATTCATATCAATAAACATGTACAGATAGAACATGATATTAGGGATACAGATAGTAACTGATGGAGTTTTATCCGGTTGGATGTGTAGTTAAGTATACATGATATGTGGTTGAATAATAATTGGTTGTAAATCTTCTGGTTGATTTGATAAAATTTTGAGTAGCTATAAAACTGTTTACATTTTGATCATATGTTTCTGATACATCACCAAACAGTAATAAATCAACACTTAATTGGTAAGGCAATGGAGTCAAGTATCTTTGACGTGATTCAATGTGATTATTACAATATAACAAAAAATGGGAACTGTCTTCTACAAAATTGGGCAACGAAGGATTAAAACGAATCTCCTCAGGATTATTATTCCAAAGAGAAATAACTGAGGGTAGGAAAGACTTACGATAAAACTCAGTAGTGCATCTGATACCTGTAAGATCGTTACCATGCCTAGTGCTGTGCATTTCAGATATGCTAGGAGGTACAAGCTTGGAAAGATAATCAGGAGTGAGACGATGAAACATTTTTTTTTTTTTTGTCAATTTATGTTTTTTCCTTCTTTCATTTTCTATAAATTAACTTATAGGGAACGTGTTAAACCTCGCAAGTAATGCTAGAAACCAGTTATGAAGAAGGTTGCATGTAGGTGCTGTGTAGTTATAGAAATTCGACAGCTTGAATAAAATATCAAATAATTTGTATAATTGAGGTCTGCAGGATATAGCAATTGTGTAAAATTTCTTAACGTCTAAAATATTTGTATTAAGCCTCTTTATGAAATCGACAGTAGATTTTTTTTTTTTGTATATTTGATCTGCAGAATATTTTTCCAAATTTCAGTCAAAATAGTCAAAAAGTCTTTTGTACATTTCTTATTCCTTTTATATTCATTAGCCATGCACAAATTATTATCCATTGCGTATTTTGTTTATACCCCTTAGTAAACTCTTCTGGAAAAGAGATTGAAAAACATAAGCTAAGGGAACAATACACGAAGGAAAAAAGAAAAAAATGAAACTTAAACAAAAATCATATTTGAAATAATATAGAAAATATAAAATTTGATATACAATCGTTAAGAAAAATGACGGTAAGATATCTTATAGTTCTGAGACAAGACGTTGTGTGCCCAACAGCAAATTGTGAAAAGCCGAGAATGGAATGAGTTAAAATAGAAGATTGATTTAACACAAACATAAACAAATATATAAATACGATATATATTGAGAGATGAAAATGGAATCTGACATGGAAAAGACGGCTGAATATGTATGCAGTGAACATTACATTACAAGATACCTCCGTTTAAATTAAAGAGTCTGGATTTTGAGGAAGCTGATTGACCAAGAACGCGTTGCACAGAAAACGCCAAATGCTTCGGAGTCTGTGAGAGAGAAAGATGACATAATCACATGGACATTTGTAATTGTCAAGCGTGTTCAGGTGCGTTCGATTGGAGTAATTTTTGCAGTTGTGCGTTGAGAGTTTCTGAGGCGTATTATGAATTGTTTGAACTCCCTGATAAGCCTGCCCATATCTAACAGAATGATGATCCCAGGAACCAAACATAGGACGAGGATGCCAATATAGCCAATGTTAGCTGAAGATTGTCGGTCGCCAGGGGCACTCGTCAAAGCTCGCTTATATGAAGACAGCTTCTTAGGGTTGATAAGTAGCTGTTCTTTAAGCTTACTGAGACTTTCCTCCAACTTGTTCTGGTCTACCGGGGTGGGTTTAATGCAGGAACATGTTGAACATGTCGCTGATATCGTTCCTGTTTTCTCGGTTGCTGGAAGCAGACATGATTATATTAATGTATTTTACTTGAAACGTGCAGCCGCCTCGGAACTGTCGATCTTTCTCTTCAGAGTAAAATGATCCTATTCAACTGACATTGACTTTTTAGCCTTCGAGTCGGGGGAATCAAGATTAGATTTTTTCATATTATGTGGGCAAGACATTAACACATTTGTTGAAAAAGAATCTATCAAGAAATCGAATGGCCAAAAAACCCCAGATTTTCTTCTTGCATCCTTTGAACAGCTCGATAAGTTTGTAAACTTAAAACCTTAAGATCCTTCAATCTATGAAGAGTATTTGATTCATATATCTGGATCTTGAGAAGGGGATTTTTGAAATTTTAGTCAATTTGACCATTTTCGGCCCCGCCCATCAGCCCCCGGGGTCAGTCAGGGGTGATTTGTGCATATCATCAAACTGCTATCTCATACTGATAACGATAACCAAGTTTGAATTAATTCCAATGGAAATTAAACAAATGCTGTCCAAAATGTGATTTCCCTATATAATTATAGTAAAGTTTACACCCTCCCCAGGGGAAGACGTGATACCCCAGGGTCATGAAATTCATTATTTTGGTAAAACACCTTAAGACCCTTCCATCTACGAAGAGTATTTGATTCTACCATATTTGGGTATTGAGAGGAAGATTTTTGAAATTTCAGACAATTTGACCCTTTTTTGCCCTGCCCCTCAGACCCCTGGGAGTCAGTCAGGGTGATTTTTGTATATCATCAAACTGCTATCCAATACTGATAATGCTAAACAAGTTTTAATAATTCCAATGGAAATTAAACAAATGCAAAGACCCCACCATCTAGGAAGAGTATTTGATTCTACAATACCTGGATCTTGAGAAGAAGATTTTTGACATTTTAGTCAATTTGACCGTATCTGGTCCCGCCACTCAGACCCCTGGGGGCTGGGGACCATATAATTCACAATTAAACTATAGTAAAGCTTACCCCTCCTCAGGGGGAAACGTGAGACTCCAGGGTCATGAAATACACAATTTTGGTAAAGCACCTTAAGACCCTTCCATCTATGAAGAGTATTTGATTCTACCATATCTAGATCTTGAGAAGAAGATTATTTAAAATTCAGTCAATTTGACCTTTTTTGACCCCACCTATCAGCCCCCTGGGGGTAAGTCAGTGCTGATTTGTGCATATCATCAAACTGCTACCCAATATTGATAATGCTAACCAGGTTTGAATTAATTCCAATGGAAATTAAACAAATGCTGGTCCAAAATGTCATTTTCCTATATAAACTATAGTAAAGTTTACCCCCTCCCCAGGGGGAAACGAGAGACTACAGGGTCATGAAATTCACTCTTTCGGTAAAGTCCCTTAAGACCCTTCCATCTATGAAGAGTATTTGATTCTACCATATCTGGATCTTGAGAAGAAGATTGTTAACGTTTTAGTCAATTTGACCGTATCTGGTCCCGCCACTCAGACCCCTGGGGGCTGGGGACCATAAAATTCATAATTAAACTATAGTAAAGCTTACCCCATCCTCAGGGGGAAACGTGAGACTCCAGGGTCATGAAATTCACAATTTTGGTAAAGCACCTTAAGCCCCTTCAATTTATGAAGAGTATTTGATTCTACCATATCTGGAACTTGAGAAGAAGATTATTTAAAATTCAGTCAATTTTACCCTTTTTGGCCCCACCAATCAGCTCCTGGGTGTAAGTCAGGGCTGATTTGTGCATATTATCAAACTGCTATCCAATACTGATCATGCTAACCAGGTTTGAATTAATTCCAATGGAAATTAAACAAATGCTGGTCCAAAATGTCATTTTCCCTATATAAACTATAGTAAAGTTTACCCCCTCTCCAGGGGGAAATGTGATACCCCTGGGTCATCAAATTCACTATTTTGGTAAAGTCCCTTAAGACCCTTCCATCTATGAAGAGTATTTGATTCTACCATATCTGTATCTTGAGAAGAAGATTGTTGACGTTTTAGTCAATTTGACCGTATCTGGTCCCGCCACTCAGACCCCTGGGGACTGAGGACCATATAATTCACAATTAAACTATAGTAAAGCTTACCCCGTCCCCAGTGGGAAACGTGAGACTCAAGGGTCATGAAATTCACAATTTTGGTAAAGCACCTTAAGACCCTCCAATTTTTGAAGAGTATTTGATTCTACCATATCTTGATCTTGAGAAGGGGATTTTTGAAATTTTAGTCAATTTGACCCTTTTTGGCCCCGCCCATCAGCCCCTGGGCGTCAGTCAGGGCTGATATGTGCATATTATCAAACTGCTATCCAATACTGATAATGCTAACCAGGTTTGAATGAATTCCAATGGAAATTAAACAAATGCTGGTCAAAAATGTGATTTCCCTATATAAATTATAGTAAAGTTTACCCCCTCCCCAGGGGGAAACGAGAGACCCCAGGGTCATGAAATTCATTATTTTGGTAAAGCACCTTAAGACCCTTCCATCTATGAAGAGTATTTGATTCTACCATATCTGGATCTTGAAAAGAAGATTTTTGAAAATTCAGTCAATTCGACCCTTTTTGACCCCACCCATCAGCCCCCTGGGGGTAAGTCAGGGCTGATTTGTGCATATCATCAAACTGCTATACAATACTGATAATGCTAACCAGGTTTGAATGAATTCCAATGGAAATTAAACAAATGCTGGTCAAAAATGTGATTTCCCTATATAAACTATAGTAAAGTTTACCCCCTCCCCAGGGGGAAACGAGAGACCCCAGGGTCATGAAATTCACTATTTTGGTAAAGCACCTTAAGACCCTTCCATCTATGAAGAGTATTTGATTCTACCATATCTGGATCTTGAGAAGTTTTTTTTTTGAAATTTTAGTCAATTTGACCATTTTTTGGCCCCGCCCATCAGCCCCTTGGGAGTCGGTCAGGGCTGATATGTGCATATTATCAAACTGCTATCCAATACTGATAATGCTAACCAAGTTTTAATTAATTCCAATTGAAATTAAACGAATGCTGTCCAAAATGTGATTTCCCTATATAAACTATAGTAAAGATTACACCCTCCCAGGGGGAAAAACCCGAGACCCGAGGGTCATGAAATTCACTATTTTGGTAAAGCACCTGAAGACCCTTCAATTTGTGAAGAGTATTTGATTCTACCATATTTGGGTCTTGAGAAGGAGATTTTTAACATTTTAGTCAATTTGACGCGTTCTGGTTCCGCCACTCAGACCCGTAGGGGCTGGGGAACATATAATTCACAATTAAACTATAGCAAAGCTTACCCCCTACCCAGGGGGAAACGTGATACCCCAGGGTCATGAAATTCACAATTTTGGTAAAGCACCTTAAGACCCTCCAATTTATGAAGAGTATTTGATTCTACCATATTTGGGTCTTGAAAAGAAGATTTTTGAAAATTCAGTCAATTCGACCCTTTTTGACGCCACCCATCAGCCCCATGGGGGTAAGTCAGGGCTGATTTGTGCATATCATCAAACTGCTATCCAATACTGATAATGCTAACCAGGTTTGAATTAATTCCAATGGAAATTAAACAAATGCTGGTCCAAAATGTGATTTCCCTATATAAACTATAGTAAATTTTACCCCCTCCCCAGGAAGAAACGAGAGACTACAGGGTCATGAAATTCACTATTACGGTAAAGTCCCTTAAGACCCTTCCATCTATGAAGAGTATTTGATTCTACACTATCTGGATCTTGAGAAGAAGATTGTTGAAATTTTAGTCCATTTGACCATTTTTGGCCCCGTCCCTCAGGCCCCTGGGGGTGGGGGACCATATAATTCACAACGTTTGTTGACCTTTTGCCATGGAAATTTCATTGAAATTGGTTCAGGGGTTTTGGAGAAGATGTTGAATATGTAAACTGTTGACCGACGGACGACAAACGACGCACGACGCACGACAAAAAGCGATCGCAATAGGTCAATTGAGACTTTGTCTCAGGTGACCTAATAAGAGTAGAGTTCATTTGTAAACCATTTAATATAAAAATATGCCACATACATTTCCAGATGTGTTATATTGTAATAGAAATGACAGTTTATCTAACAGTATTGTTTTATAGAGACAGTCATCAGAAAACAAAGGATACAATGTTGTTTTATGGAGACAGTCATCAGAAAACAAAGGATACACTATTGTTTTATAGAGACAGTCATCAGTAAAGAAATGACACAATGTTGTTTTATAGAGACAGTCATAAGAAAACAAAGGATACAATGTTGTTTTATGAAGATAGTCATCAGTAAACAAAGTATACAATGTTGTTTTATAGAGACAGTCATCAGTTAAAAAGGATTCCATATTGTTTTATAGAGACAGTCATCAGAAAACAAATGATACAATATTGTTTTATAGAGACAGTCATCAGAAAACAAAGTATTCAATATTGTTTTATTTAGACAGTCATCAGAATTCAGAGGATACAATTAATGTTGTTTCTATAGAGACAGTCATCAGTAAACAAAGGATATAATGTTGTTTTATAGAGACAGTCATCAGTAAACAAAGGATACAATGTTATTTCTATAGAGACAGTCATCAGAAAACAAAGGATACAATGTTGTTTCATAGAGACAGTCATCAGAAAACAAAGAATACAATGTTGTTTTATAAAGACAATCATCAGTAAACAAAGGATACAATGTTGTTTTATAGAGACAGTCATCAGTAAACAAAGGATACACTATTGTTTTATAAAGACTGTCACCAGAAAACAAAGGATACAATGTTGTTTTATAGAGACAGCCATCAGAAAACAAACGATACAATATTGTTTTATAGAGACAGTCATCAGTAAACAAAGGATACAATGTTGTTTTATATAGACAGTCATCAGTACAAAAAGGATACAATATTGTTGTATAGAGACAGACATCAGTAAACAAAGGAGACAATGTTGTTTGATAGAGACAGTCATCCGTAAACAAAGGATACACTATTTTTTTATAAAGACTGTCACCAGTAAACAAAGGATACAATGTTGTTTTATAGAGACAGTCATCAGTACACAAAGGATACAATATTGTTGTATAGAGACAGTCATCAGTAAACAAAGGATACAATGTTGTTTGATAGAGACAGTCATCAGTAAACAAAGGATACAATATTGTTTATAGAGACAGTCATCAGAAAACAAAAGATACAATGTTGTTTTATATAGATAGTCATCAGTAAACAAAGGATACAATGTTCTTTTATAGAGACAGTCATCAGTAAACAAAGGATACAATATTGTTTTTATAGAGACAGTCATCAAAAAACAAAAGATACAATGTTGTTGAAGTATAGGACAGGTATTTTTTTCGATCGCATGTCATAAATGCATTTTCGTTTTTTGCTAGGGAAAAAGAGAAACCTGCTCTTATCCGACCAAATGAAGACAACTCACACACATCTACCTTTTTATTCAGAAATGTCACTATCTCGTCACCTTATCAACAGTGTAATAACTTTATGTTCCCATGACTACGCCGCGGTGTAATCTGCTGCTAATTACAAATAATTTACGGTAGGGAAGCACAGGAAAATTCACTCTTTACCTGATGTATACAGAGAAATATGACCCCTTTGTATACGATTTTAATGTTAAGCCTACGGCAAAGGTAATAGCTTAACTGCGAAGAAACTTGGGATCTGATTAAATTTAGGGCGTCTATTATATGATAGGGAAGTTCTACCCTATGGTATAGATATAGAGCCAGATCTAAGGCCGAAGTTCTGAGACCAAATGCTACACCCTATGTTAGAATGTTCCAACCAATATGCTTACATAACTATTTAATCTTTTTCTATAACCTATCACCCGGGTATTTGGTAAAAGACGGGTATGCATTTAGAATTAACCGGATAAGGAAACGCTTCACAGCAAGTTTGTTAAAGCCAAGAGGCCCATAGGGCCTGTGTCGCTCACCTGGATAATGAAACAAGCATGCATTGATTTTTATTTTATTACGTTTAACAAGAGGCCCAATGGGCCTTACTCGCTCAACTAGAATTAAGTTCACACTTGTAATCTTAAAAGTTGACCAAAATACATCTACAGGCAAAATATCAGTGTTTGATTCAAAATAATCTATTCAACGATTCGAATGTATGACCCCTGTGGCCCTGAATGTCGAACAGGGACAAGTTGAACAGACTTTATATCCTTACATCCCAGCATGCTTCTGCCTAAATATCATTACCCTGGACATTTTGGTTATTCAGAATATTCAACATACAAAGTAATGTATTTGGCCCCTGTGACCTTGACAATTTTGGTTACTGAGAATATGTACAAAGCTTTTAAACATATTTGACCCCTGTGACCTTGAATATAAGTCAAGGTCATTCATTTGAACAAACCTGTAAGCCCTTTTTCCTAGCATGCTACTGGCCAAATATCATAAGCCAAGGCCTCTTAGCTATTCAGAAGAATTTGTTTAAAGATTAACAGATATTTGATCTTGTGACCTTGTAAAGATCTCAATGTCATTCATTTAAACAGACAGTCAAATATCATCATCCTAGACATTTTGATTACTGAGGAGAAGTTGTTTAAAGGTTTTTAACATATTTGACCCATGTGACCTTGAACATTGTAGAATGTCCTTTGTTTGTAACAAAACTTGGTAGCTCTTTATCCCAGCATGTAACAGAACAAATGTCGTCACCCTAGGCCTTTCTGGTTAATCAGAAGAATTTGTTCATAGCTTACCACATATTTGACCCCGGAACCTTGAAAATGGACGATGGGCATTCATTTGAACAAACTTGGTATCCCTTTATCCAAGCATGCTACTTGCTTAATATCATCATCCTGGGCGTTTTTGTTACTGAGAAGAAGTTGTTTAAAGTAAAAAAGTTGACACCGGACGGACGACGGACGGACAACGGACGACGCACCATGGCATACACTCATTTGCCTACGGGCTAACAACTATTTCCAATTATTGGCTCTTTCTCTCAGCAACATCCGTCCCTCATTAGGTCTTATTTCTGTCCCTTTTAATTGGGGAGGATTTCAACATTAATTTCAATTTCCCCTATAGGGGTCGCCCCTCTGCCCCCTAAAAGCAACCCTGTATCTATACAAAATTGAGATTTGGTTAAAATTTCTCCAAACAAACTGAAGGAGGAGGATTTTAAACATGTATTGCTATGTCCACCCACTGGACCCTTCCCCTTTGCTCCGAGAGGGGCCACAATCTCTGTTAAAACAAATTGAGTTCCCCTTGCCCAAAAATTTGTTTGGACCAAATTCGGTTAAAATAACTCATACTAAACGAAATGGAATTTAAAGATTTGCCTAATTTTTTCCTTTTTGGGACCCGCCCTTCCACCCAAAAGGGGCTACATCCTTCATTTATACAAAATTGAGTCCAAAAGATCCTCAAATGGCCAGAGGGAGAAGGATTTTAAAAAAACTTCCTTAAATTTCCCTATTGGGCCCCGCCCGTCTTCACCAAAAGGGGACGTACCCTCCGTTTATACAAAATTTAACCCCATTTGCCCAAAGATGCTCCAGGCCAAAAACTGATAAAAATGTATAAAGCTGTTCAGGAGTAGTAGCGTTTTAAAGGAAAACATGACGGACGGACTGGCGACAGGCGACGGACGACGGACGCTGTGATATGGCATAAGCTCGCCATGGTCCAGCTAAAATGTTAATTTTTGTGAGGCAATGTATGATGCCGACTGTGTTTGGCTGTTACTATCATTATTATATTATAAATATTACTGTTCCACAGACCAATATGTCAATTTAATTATGTCATTTATAACACCAAAATGACGACACGTTTTCAGAACATCAGCCAATATGCTACTGAACATTTAGAACGCAAACGTGGTTCTCGTACACTTTCTAGTCAATACTTAGAAACAGGGATTACTTGTAGGACCTTTGTCGGCAAGATTTATCCCATATAGATGTTCAACCTGGGATAAGTGTATCATGCACACGCAGAGGCGATGAAAAGTATTATTCTTACACGGTTGAAGTATAAGACAAACAGCAAAATCAGATTCATCTAACTCTGCTAGAAATATTCAACGTATGTGCATGTATTATGGTGGTTGCCGGTTGCGGTGAAATATAAACCTTATTCTGTTGTAATTTTGAATCAGGATTGGTTATGTTCTTACAGTTTTATTGTATTGCATGATAACATATACATTTTAGATAGCAGTTTTGATTTCGAAAATAGATTCTGAAAATACAACATCAGTTTTGCTGAAAAGTAATTTTGAATTTATTTCATGTCGGTCAATTAAGTAAAATATTTTAACACTCAGTGACTCAATAAATGGTTACGTAGCACTATGTGTTACGAACGTGTATGTGGTTTTGTATCGTATTTAGTAATTAGGTTTGAATAATTGAAACATAACCAACCCGTCGGTAGTGATGTTAGTTCCAGCTTCACGGAAGTGACGACATTTGGCAGCGGAGGTGTTGACTCGGACGACGTTTCGACGACTGCCGTTGGATCAGTGCTGCTAGGTTCAAGGTCGGCTATACTAGTCATTGCGGACGTGGGTGTATAAGCTGTCGACGAGGGCCAAGTAGATTGTGTCTGTTGGTTTGATGTGGTCACAGTTGTGGAACACAGGTTGTCAAGGTTGCTGATACTCGCAGTAACGCCACCACTAGGGACAGTTCTCAACAGATCTATATATAAATATGAGAGTTTGCTAATTGGTGTGCAAAGACATGTTGTATTTCTCGGCAAATATATATACAATATCAGTTTTTAGTGGAAATGTTTAGCAATGTAGTATTGCATGATTCTCCGCAGTATTGAAGTACCTACATATAACATTTGACAACAATATATCAAATATAACATGACATATTTTTCTATATATATCTTATATCAGTTCTTGGTGGAAAGGTTTAATAATATCACAGTTCTGAACATGGTTACACGAAATGTTTTATTATAATCTATATATTCAGGCGGAGTATTACGAGCAATCCATAGTTCCCAATCCCCGAAAGATATTCAATAGCGTTAATGAATAAAAAGGCCATACAAATGTAACTCTGTAAGACCTGATTACAGAAAACGATTTTCCGCATTCCAAAGACAATAATATGCCTTATACGCGATCGGCCATTTCAAAGAACTTTCCTAAAAAGCGACAAAGGTGGGCATATATTTCAAAAGATAAGAAAAGTTACATGTTCGTAGTCGTAAGAGAGGTAAAAAATGACATTCGGAATATTTACCAAAGTCTTTTTAGTTCTATCTATCGTCTCAGTGTACTCAATTATCAATGAACGTGAATATCTGTGTGTCATTTTGTTAATATAACGCAAACTTGATCACATGTTGAAAAACGAATTTATTTGCTCTGAAATGTATACTTTTTAGGATTTTCCACCATTTTTCGGATGAAATATCATATATGCTTTGCAATAATACGATAGATTCTGTAAGTTTAAGTGATGGATAATTATAATCATGTCTTGAACTGCAAAAATAAGGATATGTTATCGTATGCTCTGGGGAAACAACGGGACCAATGCAATACCTAACAAAGCTTTTATGGTTTTAAAAATATGAAATAACGGTATTTACTTAACTGGTAAAAGTATATCCTAAGATGGTCATCGTCTCTGGCGCTTTTGATTGACACATGTAAACCTCTCGTTTTACATCATCAAAACATCTTAGCTCCACAATGTAAAGTTACCCAACGCATGACGTCTCCAATTAATGGTTGTGATAGTTGCCACAAAAATAACACAAACATCACTATTTTTACGGCATTCCATTTGGCATGGAAATGCCATTTCCCAGGTGTTCGTTCCTTACTTTAAACTCAGAAGTTGGAAGTTTGTACTATAGACAATATGTTTTCCCTGTATTAATCTGTCCAATTTCTCCTTTTTTTGAAGTTGCAAATGATTTAATTTTGCTGTTCAGACCCCTGTGAGTTCAAGTATAATGAAGGTATAATTCGCACACATGTCATGAAAGTTTTAAAAAACCACATTGGTGACTTATTAATGTCGATGAGTATAAGATCTTCGTTCAGGAACATATGTTTTCATTATTAATATTTGAGATTTCCTGGACTCCGTATGCATTGCATTTATGAACATTTTAAATTCAAAAACAACCCGTAAAGCTCCCGAATTCAGCACCACATCCAACGAGAGTATTTACTATACAGCTACATGTACCAAGTTATACAAGTCATGTAGTCGATAGAACTGATGGGAATGGCGGAGGTATTGTGATTTCTTTTATAAAAACGAACCGAAAAAGTATTGCACTGTTGTCAATAATGTAAATGATAGTATCGTAGTACTCAAGATAGCACGTGACTTATCACGACATGATTAAGATATTTACATATTTGTTAATTATTTACACCCAGCTAATAATACTTATTATGATACGCATGGTGTTGATCTTTTTGTAAAACTAGAAAAAAGTATTTCTATATATAAGGACAAACCCTCTTGTAGCATATTGGTTATAGGAGATTTTAACAGTCGAATTGGTGAAGTTGATGGTTTCATTAGCACGGACCTACTGGGCAATGCAACAAGTAATAATGTATCTAACATTGTTAGCTATTTACCAAACGATAGTATGAAAAACGTAAAAGTATGGACAAGACTGTTTATCAATTGGCCGCCAGATATAACTATGTCCAAAACCTCTTCACTTCGAATTGTTAACGGTAGACATTAAGATGATCCAGAAGGTAGTATACCTTTTTATAACGCTAGAGGAACTAGTGGCATAGATAACTTACAGAAGGTAGTATAACTATAACGCTAGAGGAACTCGTGTCATAGACAACTTACAGAAGGTAGTCTGACTTTTTATAACGCTAGAGGAACTCGTGTCATAGACAACTTACAGAAGGTAGTATAACTTTTTATAACGCTAGAGGAACTAGTGGCATAGATAACTTACAGAAGAAAGTTGTTTTGTTTGCAAAACAGTTTTGAAACCGGTGATTTTAACCGTTACTCTGACCACTGCCCAGTCACTTTTTGTATTAATGTTAATTTTTGTTTTAACCGTGCATCGTCAAGTATGTCGGACGTTGTTGAACAAATTTCGCTTAAAAAGAATGATGAACATGTGAATGTGAAATGGAAAGATGATAACACAGAGGAAACAGTGAGACAAAACTAGAGAATAATATAAATGCCTTATTAAATATCTTTGCTGTTGATTGTCTGTTGATATGTTTACATGCGAGTTAAATAATATTGTTCTACCTTTTTGTACAAAAACTAATATATACAGCGGTGTCCGAAAAGAAGCTACCCAGGATAAACCTCGGTTTAACGATAGTTGTAAGAAAGGATATAAAAAGTATAAACCGCTCTGTATGTTTTTAATCTATATGAAAATGATGAAAATCGGGTCAATTTGATAAATAAGAAAAAAATGTAAAACAAGTTTGAATCTAAGCTAAAGAAATAATATAAGGGCGATACGAGCTACATGCTGAATTATGTGAGAAAGTATAACCCTAAAAGGTTTTACAAGCATTTCAAAAACATAAGCAAAATATTAAAAGTGATTTGAGTGAATTTGATCCCTCAACACTTTACCAAAATTATATGGAACTGAACCTTATAGTTAATGTTGACATACATGATTTTATGCACGAGTACGATAGTAACTCCTCTACTGTAACTTTTGATGAATTAGATATAGATATAACAGAAGGAGATATTGTACGCAATAAAGAAATTAGGTAAAATAAATGCATATGGCCCGGGCTACATTTTAAATAAATACATAATTAAGTGTAAGATGGTTTTAATGCCGTGTTTTGTTATTTTATTCAATAATATACTTAAATTTGGTAAAAAAATATTATATTGTTGTTTTATTGATTACACAAAGACTTTAAATTTTATTAATCGCCAAAACTTGATAAAGTAAGGAATTGATGGGAAGTTGTTAAAATTAATTAGATCGTTGTATAGTTGTGTGAAATGTTCCGTAAAACATAATTGCTCATTATCAAACTATTTCAATTGGGAAAATAAATTGTTTCAAGGGGAAATTGTATCACCTCTACTATTTGCTTTATATGTAACTGATTGTGAAATGCAAGTTTTAACTGACAATTGTGCATCGATAGAAATATGTTGAATATGCTTTTTACTTATGTAAGCCGACGATATTGTAATTATTTCAGAAACGCCAGAGGGCCAACAATCAATGTTAAATTCTTTAGAACCTTATACAGAGAAATGGAGTCTTACTGTCAATATTAACACAACATAAATTCTTGTGTTTAGAAATGGTGGTTATCTGAGAATAAAAAAATCGGACATATAAAGGCTGTAATTTAGAAATTGTAAATTAATTCAATTACTAGGGAGTCTTGTTAAATTACAACGGGACGTTTAGGAAAAGACAAAAAAAAAATCAGAATAAGGTAGAAAAACATTATTTGCCGTTATGAGTTTATGTCAAAACAACTTTTTTAATACTGAAACTCAGTTGTTTGTTTTTGACACATATGTTAATAGCATATTAAGCTTTGGTGCGGAAATAAAGGGTTTTCATAAGCCCCTGCTGTCGAGAAAGTACAAACTATGTTTTGCATGTTTGTAATGCCATGGTGTACTTAAAACTTGACAGGTATCCTTTATCGTTATTAAGGATATTCAACATTTGTTAAATATTGAATAAAATTGAAAATAAACTGATAATTGTATTTTATAAGCATGTTACAAGAAACGGTAGAGAATAAAAATAAATAGATAATGAACATCAAGAATGAGCTATACAGGATAGGCCTAGGGTCTATTTGGGAATATGATATAACGGCAACACGTTCTATTAATTAATTTAAGAAATACTAATTGATATTTTTAGAGAAGAATGTGCAAAACAAAATAAAATATCCGCAAAAGTTAACGTTTATAGATATCTTTATGATAGTTTTGATCTACAAAACTACCAGCGTAAACCCATACCAAAAGAATATCTGAAAAAAATTACAAAAAATGAATTACCTTCTCATAACTTAAAAAGAGCGATAGCAAAACATTGAACGAAGTCGTCGAGTATGTAAATTATGTAATTTAGATGATGTTGAATATGAGTTTCATTTCATTCTTAAATGCCCATGTTATTCAGATTTGCGAGCAAAATTTTTGAAAACTTATAACATTAAAAAGCCAAGCATGTTAAAATTGATAGGACTACTGAGTGTGAAAAATACAAAAGAAATAACGAATTTAGGGAAATATATAAAATCTGCTTATTCGAGAAGAAACTTATTATTATAAATAGCTTAATTGCACTCTCCAAACAAATGATACTGTATCTATTTGTAATTGTTTAGTAAGTGTGTGTAATGTTGTGTTATGGTGTTCAATCTTATTTGTATTTTGCACTGTAAATGTTGCACTTTTGTTACTGGTAACTGTAGAGTTGAAAAACTCAACGTAATAAAGAACTTGTATTATAAATAGGTATTAAGGGAGAGGTAACAGCCAAGCACAAGCTATTCATTACCTTGTAATCTTCAAGATTACCGAGTTTTATAAAGGATTCAAATGACAATGATATAACTGATGAAGCTGTAAGAGGAAATTGTTTTAATGAGTATTTCACAAATAAAGCAGATCAGTATGTAAACG